GATTATTATTTTTATTTAGGCCAATCATCTCTCTCGTAGATATTTTTCAATAAATTTAGGCTCAAGATCCTTATTTTCATTCAAAATATCAATTGTAATATTATATGTAAAAATATTATCAATAAATATTTCTTTTAGTCTTATTTTCTCTCCACATTAACATAATTTATCAAATTTATTTTAATTTTCCTCAAGCATTTAAATTTCTTCGAAAGCCTATTATCGAAATATCTTGAAACATTTTGTAAATACTCTTATTATTTATATTTTCATCTTGATTATTTGCTTTTTTCTTTAGGGATTTTTATTTTTAGAATTGATCGATCTTTTACATTTCGGGCGTGCTTTAAATTCATTTGCTATACTATTAATAAATTGCATTTCTAGGACATGCATTCCGATATAAGCATTCTCAATGGGGACATGCATTTTAGTCATTCTTTTTGGATATGAAAATGCATTTGGAAGTTGGTTTGTAATACTTTGTAAATAAATTATCTTCCGAACTTCTAGTTCATATTATTTAATATGAGGATCAAGATGATGTAAAGATAAAGTAATCAATGTAATATCTTTTTTAACATTTCTAACTACTTATTTTTCTTATTCTTCCCCCTAATTTTGAAAAAAAACTTATTTCATCAAAATAATAGTCGATAAATCGAGTTGTAAAAATATTTATCGTTCATGGTTCAAGATATTTAATTATCGAAGAGGATTCAAATTCAACATATATTCCTAATATTCTTTAAGTGGCCCATTTTAATTCTTTGTGGAGGAGTACTAATAATATATACTCGCATAATCAAAAATTCTTATATGAGAAATATTTAGCTCATGACCATAAACCAATTGAAGGAGAGAGAATTTATGATAACCTATGAGTCCGATGCGAATAAGTATTATTGTATGTAAGATTGCATCTCCCTAAACATATATAGAAAATTTTATTTTTATAAATACTCGGTTTAGCTATTAATTTGAGCATTTTGATAAATGATTTTATTAAATCTTTCCGAGTATGAACATGAGCAACAGTATCGTTTAACCTTTATTCTAATAGCCAATCAATAATCATTTAATACTTGAGAGATAAATACATCAAAATTATCAAGGTGAATTGTTTTAATAGCATAATTTTAAAATTATGCTTGTATTGGAATTATTTGAGCTAGCAATCTTGAAAACACATGTTTCAAGTAGATAATAAATATACATGTGACTATCTTATGAATGCATCTATTAAAAAAATTAAAATATCTAAATAGTTCATATGATGAATGAATTAGCCTACATATATCACCTTTATTACGTTCTAGAAATATTGAAAATTCATGTCAATTTTACTTGAAGATGGCTCAATAATTAATTTATCGTTAGAACATGCACATAATGAAAATTCGTTAAACTAAAGAATCATTTGGCTTTTTAATAAATGTCCATATGAATTTTTAATAATTCTTCACATCATGAAAGACCCGGGATAACACAACCAGATCATGCCATATAATAAAGGAATTTGAGTTAGTAAACTTCGGTTGACTATAAAATTTGTTTTGATCATTCAAATATTTATAATAAAAACTAGAAGAGAAAACGAATGATTTCTCCAATACATATTTTTTACCCGATGTAATAATTATAATTTCTAAGTATTCAATATTTTCTATAAATAATTGTTGTTTTCACATGAATGTCCATTTAGATAAATTTCTTTGAAACTTTGGAAAGAATAATGGATCATTTATAATAAAATTTTTCATTTTAGATAATAATATATTTACCCTTCTAGAGCCTTTAAATTCTATCACTTTAAGTAATAATATTTTCATTTTTTTAGATTCTTTAAAAGTTGTATATTTAAGTAACAATATATTCGCTCTTTTAGAGCCTTCAAAATTTATCTATGTTGGTAATAATATAGTCTTTATTCTAGAGCTTTCTATTAGATTGACATTATCGGATATAATATTAACATAAAGTAATTAATTAAATAAATATATTCTTCACACACACACACACACACACACACACACACGCAAAATAAATTTGTAATTATCAATGTGCAATAGAAATTATAAGAAAATATAAAATATCTTATTTATAAATAGAAAAGCTAAGAAGTTATTAATTTCAATTATCATCATTTTAATATATAAAATTGGCCTTTATATATATATATATATATATATGTTCAATGAGGCTTGATAATGCTCGACGATATGCTTTGACGTAAGACAAGTATACAACTAATGTACCTTCATGCCACATCTATAACATTCATTTTTAAAATGCTAACTTGAGCCATTTTTATTCTTTCATTTTTTTTCATAATTTATCTACTTCTAGTGGTGAGATGTATTATTATGATCACCGCAATTATAATGATAACTAATTCGAAATGACTATAGTGATGTCTACGTCTTCTTCTATGTCTAAAATTATTATAAAATATCACATTCACTTTAGAAAATATAGTAGACCTAATTGGGCGGGATTCATAATTTTTCATCAATAGCTCGTTACTTTGTTTAGTTGCAAATACACATGAAATCAAATTAGAATATTTTTTAAAACATTTTTCTCGATATTGCTACTATATAAGCATATTTGAGGCATGAAAAGTAAAGAATGTTTTGTCGACTTCAAGTATCCATGATTAATAATTCTTGCTCGAAATGTCAAGGGTCACAAAATCAAGTTTTGTGAGGTTTGATATGATAAAAATTCTATAATGAAAGATATTATAATAATATTAAGAAATAAAAACAAACATAATAATAAAATTTAAACTTTTTAAACAACATACACTAGATCATTAGATTTAAAGCAAATAATAAGTTAGATATATATCTCCTAATGATAAAGATAGTTTAGATCTTTTGTTAGAGTACTCGTATAGAATAACAAACAATCCAATTATCGAGACAAATAATTGAATTTTTTCTTAATAAATACATACCTTATGGTCTATTATCTCGATTGGGTAAAGTTTCGTGTTGATAATATGTTATAAAAAAATGGTAACAATAGTAGAATTGAAGAGAAAAATGATAGAAAAATGAATTCATTATAAAATAAAATGAATACAAGAGATAATAACTTCAAATAATTCTCTAAATCTCTAAAAAAAAAATCTACACAAACTAATGAATAATCAAGCCTATTTATAGGTTTCAAGATTAGAAAAAGAATTGAAATGAATTATAAACCATTTAAAATGTGCATAAATAATTGAATCAATTACATAATCCTTTTAATTTTTATATTAAATGGTAAATTGAATCACATGAATAGTGAAAATATGAAATGATCATAAATATTCATTAATTTATAATAATAAGAATATAATTGTGATTTTTATACTCAAAACTCAATTCCAACGTCACTTGTATATCCACTCTCATACTATATATATAATCTCTAAACCTTTGTATTTTTACATGCTAAAGCTGCTCATGTTATCCCTTTTTTATAATGGTCAAAGTACCTGGTGGACAAAGAAGGAACAAGCTTAATGACCAAATTTATAAATCTTGAAAGCTATTCCATTCTTTTTCAAAGACTACTCTTAATTGGTCATTCTCTGATCCCAATTGCTTGGGAAATAACAAAATCTCCCAGTACGTGAATCGTTGATTCCACCTCATTCAAGGAGATAGTACAAGGGTCATCTATTACTATTAGCTTTCGTTCAAATTGGTGTTCATTAATTGATCAGTGGTCTTTCATGTAACCCTAGCGAAAGAAAGGCCATCTCCATCTTCTCACAGCTCCCTAGATTTTTTTTTTTTTTTTGGCTGGTCATCCCAATTTTGTTTCCCCAATCATTCATAAGCTGAAGCTATAGGAAAATTACTCTTGCCACAAACGATCAGGTCCATTATAGGGACAGGGGGCCGGAAAAAGATGAGACCATTGGAAAAGTCAACAGTTTTAATGCTGCCTCGGCTCACACTGGCCCGTTCGTTACTCCACGGAATACCCCATTAAGCATAGAATAATAAAGATAAATTTTGTAGAGATGAAAATTCCATTGAGTTTTTTTTTTTTTTTTGGAGTTTCCTGTTGAGTTAAATTTTAATTTTTTAATTTAAAGATTTCTAATTAATTTAGGACCTTGTTTCAAATATTTTTTTCAGAAATGTCTAAATCAACACCTATAATATCCACAACAAGAGCATTTGTCACGTTACGTGGGAACTATCATATGTGATTACTATAGTATCAACACGACATATATCATTAGGTATATTGATCCAAAAATTGACAAACAAGCATATCAATGACTTTACATGACATATGAGTAATTAATTTAATTAATCAATCAATACATGGACATATATTTATTGAAGCGTCGCAGTTGATATCTTAATTTATTGACTTGTCTTGTGTTATTGGTACAGTATTAACGGATCTGTCCCATTCAGTGTTAACCTTGTTGGATTGTTCATTAAAAGTTTTGTATAATCAAACTGATGAAATTGAAAACCATTTAAAAATAGCGGAAAAAGTAAAATAAACTGCTAAAATTAAGCACCATTAAACAATGATGACGACCGGTTCCCAAGAAAGCTATTAAGCTATGGGCAGGAGACAACGGAATTGAAACGAGGGTGAAGATGATCAATCAGTCAATTGTGGGTCACTGGTCTAAAACTTAAAAAAGAAAAAAAATCAAAAGAATAATCGTGTACTCCTTACTATTTAGGCTTTTTAGTCCCAAATCCCAAGTCGGTCAGCACGTGGGTCTCCAAATCCAACGGCTACGAAGTGAACTGCAAAGTTTACCTTATCCAAGTTAACGCAGTGATGACATCCGGACTAGTAATTAATATCATGTCCAAATTTTGTTAAAACTTAAAAGAACGAGTGAAAGAATGTAAGGAAGACCCACCATCGGCCTTTCCGAATAAAGAAATACAAAAGGCATGTCAGTAACACTATAGATCCAGTTTGCATTTGTGTCGGTAGAGACTTCTGTTACTGAAATTTCCAAGATGGCAACCTCAGTCTCTTCTTCACTAGTCCCACTTCTCTTCTTTGCAAGAATCTCAGGTCTTTTGGTTGCAGGTTTAGTCATTTGTTGGGCTCTTGTTTTTAAGTCTAGCTTTCTACCTCAATCTACCTCCCAGGAAGACCTCGTTTATGCAGTATGCACTTTCCTCACTTCATCTTGCCTCACATTTCTTTAAACCCAGAAAAAAAAATCTGCATTTCAATTATATTGATGGTTTGCTTTCTTTTCTTTCAATGTGTTCTTCTTACAGGTTCTCCATCCTTTGCTGATGGTGATTGGTTTCATTCTCATCAGTGGAGAAGGTAATTTTGGCATTAATTAACCCAATAAATGTACTAACTAATGGATAGACAATTAATTAGCTTGGTTTATTTTAATATATATGGAAGTTTTTTACAAAACGGAGGTTGATTCTTGCTTCTGTTGCCCTTTTTTTTCCCCCCAGCAATTTTGGTGCATAGATGGTTGCCTGGTTCAAGGGGTTTCAAGAAATCAGTGCATTTGTGTCTTCAAGGACTGGCTTTGGCTTGTGGGATTTTTGGGATCTGGACAAAGTTTCACGGTAACGATGGGATTGTGGCAAATTTCTTTAGTTTGCATTCTTGGATGGGTTTAATCTGCATTTCCTTGTTCGGAGCTCAGGTTTGTTCTTCACTCCTGATTTTTTTTTAACTCATATTTACCTATATATTATATTATTACCTTTTATTTATATTTAGTGGGTTGAAATTGCAAATTCATCGTTAGATTTTTTAGTTAAAGCATGAAATTCATTGTCCCTGCACTGTATCTATTTGGTTTATTATGACCTATTTATTGCCTTTATTTTGATTTATTCTGTCTTCTTATTATATTTATTAGCTTATTATGTCTTTCGATTAGAAAATATATTATAGTTAATATTGAAAATGTGGCGTTCAATCAAGCGATCAAGTTGCCACGTCAAAATTTAAATTTAAATTTAAATTTCTTTTTAGAGTCAAATAATAAAACATTTTAAAAAAACTAACAAAAAAGCACAAAAATATAGTTAAAAGTACAGCTTTTTTAATTGATTCCCCAGAAGATTTTTTAATTTTTTTTTATTATTTGACATTAAAAAAAATCAAATCCAAATTTTGACATGATAATTTAATTGAAAGTCACATGTCCAATACTAATAATGATTAAAAATGATGAATTAAAAAAAATACAATTAAGGAAGATGATGAATCAAATCGATATAATATTGAGACATTTTGATGCTTTAATATATATATATATATATATATATATATATATATATATAAATATATATTGTCATTTGGAAGCTGAATTACTAATGACGTGATGTGCTGGGCATAGTCATCATTTTCATGTCCCGTCACTACATATTGCCATTGCCATTGTGGACCCTTACGTGTACATTCCCCCAATTTCATTTGAAAAAGCAACACTGCTACATTATTGATGATGATTTAATTATTTATTAGCCTAGATATACGCACCATTATTATCTTATTATACTAACTAATGACAAAGCATTTTCTAATTCAATAACGGTATTCTTTTGGTATTGGATGCTTTTTGAGGGAGAAGCATGCATGTGGTGTAATCATTGTCCTTTTGTGTTCTCTGGGCTTCCAGGAACTCGGTTATCATGGACTAGAAGGAAGCCCAATAAAGTCACTTTCTAGGTCTGTTTATCATATCTAAAGATCCCAGCAAGGCAGCAAAATAAAGTATGTGTTTATTTTCTTGTTAAATACCGTCAGGATCTTCTCCTGATACTGCTTTTGACCACCTTCGAATCGGATCAGAAAGGTCTCAGCAGTGAACGAACATTCACCATGTAGCAAAAAAGAGATGAAAATTGCACTAAGGGGTCCTAAGAGTACTATTGATTAACGATTGTTTGGCATTGCTTTCCTCATTTTTTTTTCAAGAATGAAATTGTTGGAACCATTAAAGAACTGCTTTCATGTATTAATTGGAAATACTATTTAATTAGTTGGGTAATATTGTGAATTAAAAATTTTCTGCTCATTTCAATATGCAGTGGTTGATGGGTTTCATGAGCTTTTGGCACCGAGGGGAAATGCGAACGGTGAGCATTAGAGTGTTGCCTTGGCACATCTTTCTTGGTCTCTACACATATGGGTTAGCCGTGGCAACAGCAGAAACAGGACTGCTAGAGAAGATTACACTCTTGCAAACAAAGAAAGATGTATCCAAACACTCTCCAGAATCCATGGTTGTTAATAGTTTAGGATTGAGCTTAGCTTTACTGAGTGGCATCATAATATTGTCCGCGGTTTCTCCCAAGTATCAAAGCTTTCAAAGTGAACTTATGTACTCTGAATCAAAGAAAACGATGACATGATATGCTGTGTGTTTGCTTGTGTTTCATGTATATCGAGCAAATCAAGAACATGCTGACAATCGCTATGAAGATAATAATGTCTTGCATATATTTTCGAATTGAACTTGTGTACTCTTATGCCTGATTTTAAATCATGTAGAAGTTCACCTTTGCGAGAATTTGTGTCACTTGAAGTTGAAGGTAAATAAATAGATAGAAGACTGAAAGAGGGATTTCTAGGAGTACAGAGTGCATAATATGCCAGAACTGAACTGCTAGATTTGGGTCAGAATTAGAAGGAAGTTGGAAACTACAAGTGAAATAAAGAGTAAATTATTCAATACTTCCTTGTTTCCAATTTGATTCTAACTTAGTTGCTCATATTTATTAACCTATAACTTAGTATTGTTTCGTAATTAGGAATAAAGCAATGAGAATGGAAATGAAAGTTTTATTCTCACATTGTAGATTGTTTGGTTAAAAGGAATGAAATAGGAATGAGAATGACGAGTAAAAATGAGAATGAAAATTTACACATAACTTTATTCTCATATAAGATGTGGGAATAAAAATAAAGAATGAGAATGAATTTTTTTTTAAATAATAATATATTTTATTTATTTATTACTTATTAACTACTTTTATCATCACTACTATTGTTGTCGTTACCACCACTTTTCAAAATAATAATATATTTTATTTATTTTATTACTTATTAACTACTTTTATCGCCACTACCATTGTTGTCACCACCACCACCACCACCATAACCGCAACCATTCCAACTATTATCACCGTAACCACCATTACTTTTATTATTTTTAGAACCATTATAGTTTGATAAAATTATATTTTTAATCATTATTTTTATTTGTATAAAAAATCGGATGTTAAAAAATTTAAATTGCATTCCGATTCCTCGTTAGTATTCCAACACATAATATGAAAATATAAATACAATTCACATTCCTTAATTTTCATTTCGATTTCCACATTCTCATTCCCATTCTTTTCACTAGTGTTGACCATTATTTTTGTCTTTTTTTCTTTCAAAACTTCAAATGTACCATTTGATAAAATCTAAATTTTTAGAAAAACCAATCATCAAATGATTGATTATTGTTGACATATTTTTTTTTAATACCTTCTCATTTGTTTATCAAACTTCGAGTGGATTATAAATTAATCCATTTAGGTTTCAGAAATGAATGAATGAATTTTTTATTTTAAAATTAATTATTTAGTCTTTATAATTTCAAAATTTTATTATAACTTAATTCTTTTTTTTTCAATCCAAATTGATTTTTTATTTTAAAAATTAGAATTTTTTTTTAAAGTAAAATAATATTAAATTAAACATAATCTATACTAGTCAAGTAAGTGAATAATTATTTTTTGAAACAAGAAATACTAATTAATTTGTTTCTAAAAAATAAAAGGATTAATTTATAATTTACTCATGAGGCTTCAGAAGCATCAATTCAATAATCTGGCTTCATCTGAACGTCTATTTACATATTCAAATAAATATTTTAGCATCTATTAAAATTTTACAACTTATTATTATATGAAAGGGAAAAAAATAAAAAACAAAAAGTTGTAATAACAATTGCAATTTTTTTTCCCCGCAGCCTCTGCTTTGCTGATTTGCTAGGCACCCTCGTTATCGAAGTAAATTATAATAATCCTTGTAGTGTTATTGAACAAAATATTCACTTCTTTTACTCTTAAAAAACTTTAGTTGATCATTTGATCATATTTGACCCTCAAATTGGTAACAAAAACTAACATAAACATTGGTTCTAGCTCAGCATCTCACTAAGAAAAAATTAACCAAGGGACTAAGTTATGAATAAATATGAAAAATATAGGGATTAATTAATTATTTTTGAAATCAGAGGGACTATATTATGTTATAATTTACTTATTGTATATGTAAAGGAAAATCTTCTTTTAGTGAAACGGCAACCAAGCGATCCGATTGGTAAGAGATCCCCAAGACAGTCAACGTAGCCATCCACGCCACCAAGGACTATAAATCTGCTGGCTGCTGCTCGGGAGTCACCGATATTGAAAAAACGCAGCGTTTTTATCCGAGCAGCTCCCAATTCGATGAATCTGGACGGTCGAGAGAAGTGAAAACAGAAAAAATGGTACTTCCGGAGGTTAGGTTTCCGAAGATAACTACCCTGGCGAGGGTAATCGGCATGTTGGTGGCTGCTTTTGTATTAATTTGGACCTTCCATTTCAGAGGAGGCTTGGCTCTTTCCTCTGACGACAAAAGCCTCATCTTCAATGTGAAAAGAAAAAAACCCCAAAATTCTATTCTCAATCAGTCATTTTATTTTTAGTTTTGGTATTCTAATAGTAATTTTTGCCTTCTGTCTCCCATCAGGTGCATCCTGTTATGCTTGTGATCGGCCTTGTTCTCCTGAATGGTGAAGGTAATTTCTCTTACCCATTTGGTTTTTATTGAGAATTATCCAATTCCAGATATTGTAAACATTTAATGTTAAAAAAAGCTTGATTTGGACGCAATTCCTTACTTGATACAAACATGAACACGTTCGATCACATTTTGTTTATTTTCTTTTATTATCGCACGGAATGGCGCAAAAGGTCCATATAGCCGACCCGAACTAGCTCAGGAATAATGCTTCCTTGAATCGTCGTTGTTGTTGAGCGTAAACAAATACTGATAGATTTTAGGTGTTTGGGAAGTTAGACAGAATTTTTGTAATTGAATTTGGAAAATCGTCCGGTCGGAGAAATGTAACACCGTTGGTTTGTTTTGCTTGGTGCAGCGATGCTAGCTTACAAGACTGTATCAGGAACTAAAAGTTTCAGAAAGATAGTGCATCTGACAATACAATCTATGGCATTTTGTTTAAGCCTGATAGGAGTCTGGGCTGCTTTTAAGTTCCACAGTGAGAAGGGCATTGACCATTTCTACACTCTGCATTCATGGCTGGGCTTAACTTGTCTATTCCTCTTTGGCATTCAGGTCTCTTCTCTAGTTCTCTTCCTCCCTTCCCTTCCCTTCCCTGTTTCTCTATAGCTTCATGGGTCATGCTGGACCAGTTACATGTATTGTGCCATATGGCTGGGACACCTGTAGAAGCACAACCCATTTGTGGATATATTGCTTGGAAGGCTAACTAATATCTTCTCTGTTCTTGTTGTTGAGTATTGTGAATTCCGAGAATCCAAAGTTTGTATAACTTGTGATATTTTTTCTTCTCTGTGTAGTGGGCTGCTGGCTTTTACACATTTTGGTACCCTGGTGGCTCTGCAAGTGGTAGAGCTGCTCTACTTCCCTGGCATGTATTCTTCGGGATTTATATATATGCAGTTGCTGTTGCCACTACTGCTACGGGAATTCTAGAGAAAGTTACATTCTTGCAAACACACAACATAATATCTCGCTACTCCACAGAGGCTTTTTTGGTGAATTCTCTGGGTATGCTGGTTGTTGTTCTAGGTGGTTGTGTAATTCTTGCTGTAGTTACACCTACGAATGGTAAAGGTGATGCTTTTAGAACACAAGATTATCAAATGGTCCATCCATCTGTGTGATTAACATATCAGTGGTGTTTTATTTGTTGTAGAATGATTCTCTTGGAATTGAGCAGTTTTATTGGCTGAAGGGAAGAAATTTGTTCTTCTCTTTGTCTCTGTCCCCCTTTCTCTTTCGCACACAAATTAGGGATCCTGGAGGAGCCATGACCTCTTGTGCAATCTGTCTGCTCCCTTCGTTTTTGCCTTTTTTGAGTTCTGCCAAATGAATTTCCACTTGGCTAGAGAACTAATTTATATCGGAAGTTTGCTTGCGGGACTTCAACCCAAATTTTGAAGTGACTTCGATCTCTTTAGCAGAAAATCTTAATTGGTCAACAACTTGGGTGTGTTAGTTGGAAGATTAGATCTAAAAACTGGGAGGAGATGCACCGTTTTAAAGAGCAGCACTGTCCCTTTGGTTTGCGCTTGAAGGGCAGATAACTTGCCTTTCTATTAGAACATAGACAATCTCTATGGCTGCTGGCAGGATCTTAAAGTGATTAGAGGAGCATTCTACAGTCCTTTCAGGGGAACCGTCAACCGTGTGAAGTTTTCAATTTCAGGATACCAAGCAACAAAGGATGTAGGGTGTATTTTCATTTAAATTGTCTCGATCTTCTCGAACAGATGGAATGGGCCTAGGGCTTAAAGCAACAGCATTTCTAATCTTATCAAACCCCTTGAATCTTGTTTTCCCTATTGTGAATGATGAACCGCTTGAATCTACCTCAGCATAATTTGGTGTTAATGTTTGTTTGTTCGTCCGTGTAGGCAAATTGCATTGATATCATAAGCGTAAGATAACACCATCTTAGACCATCAATCACTAACTCTAATGATCCCAATCCTACTTGAACTAAGAAGAAGAAAAAGAAAAAAACAGAGAAAAAGATTATCAAAGCTGGTAATTATTTTTCCTCCGGGTAAAGAAGTTCAGAAATTACGTACGCAATTAAAATTATCTGGTTCCTATATTCTATCAATATCCTAATTATTAACGGGATTTACTTCCTTTCTATCTCTCTGACAACTCGAATTAGATTCTAAAAAATAATTTCTTTAGAAAAAAAATATATCCACCGACACGTGAAGTGTAATTAAGGGACTGCGAGATTGTGCTTGCATGCAATGTATGATGTATGTGTGAATTTATTACCTATTTACGTAACACAAAAAATGAAAAGAAAAAAAATCATCTTGGAGGTAGAAGTAAAAACAAGAGTGCAGGTAAAATTTTTGTCGTTGCCAATGAGAGAGAGAGAGAGACGTAGGTGGCTATTACCGAAGCAATAAATGAAGAGCAATGAACTCCAGCATCGAATCTCGCAAACTCGTCTAATGCTTTGATTCTTTCATTTCATTTTCACCAGAGGAGGAGGAAAAAATGTGCTCTTCTTCTACTACTACTACGGGCACTTCTTCCTTCCCATTCCACCGCATCACCGTCACTCCCTCACTCCTACTCTTACGACGCCGTAATCTCCCAATTCTAAGACCCAAAAACCCTAATAAACTCCTCCGCCTCTCTGCTTCAATCACCGACTCACACCTCCACCTCTCCTGGTCCTCTCCTCCACCTCCCACTGATGATGACTTCAAAGGCTGGGATTTTCTCGAATCCTCTCCACAAAACAACAAGAAAGGTTTTTCTCTTCTTTTTACCTTTTGCTTTCCTCAATTTCACTTTACTTAATTCGGTAATTAAAGTTTTTATTGAATGTGGATTTCTAGGGTTACCGAAAATTGTAATTTCTGGGATTGGGATCTGTGTTGTTGCTCTGTTAACTGCCATTGCATATTTCTCCCTCTCTAGAAAAGGTCGGCCTCCTCGTTCCGATTATTTCAATTTGGTTTTTTATTCTGGTGCTTTACTTTTTTCAAAAAAATTTTAATTTTACTTTTATTACAGGATTCAAGTTCCGGTTTCGTATTCCAAGCTCAATTGAGACCACAGTAACTGATAAAACTGAAACTAATGTGTTTGACGAAGATACTGCTGCTGTGTCTGAGGCAGCCTTGGATGGTATATCTGATACTACCGGCTTAATTCTCCCTGAAGGTACATTAAATTGTGTCTCCTCTTTGCTCATTTCTGTGCCTTTGCAAACTTTAGTTTAGGAGAAAAGAAGCCAGAATTATCTGCAATGTAGGAATTTGTGTTTGTAATCATAATGAGTTTGTAATTTAAGCTTATAATGAGGATTAGTACAAGATAGTTACAACTATTCCTTTTCCTTCTGGGTGTCCAGTGTTAGAATCTACCCGCCCCCCCCTTCACCCTTCTTATCTTTCCTTTTAAATGTTTAAATGTTGGATAAAGTCCTCATAAATGTTCTGATTTGGCTCTTGAATGCATCTGTCTTATACTTTAGAGCCCACAGAGAAGCCTGAATGTGTAAAAGTGTCGGTTGAAGTGGATTCTAACCAACTGGAAGCTCTATCAGTTTTGAAGAAACTGAAGGTTTGTTTTCAGAGGCTTTTTCTGCAATTAGAAAATCTTGTTTCTTACAAAGTCTCTTGTTTGTTATTCACAATTTAACACATGAGGTGGTACAAAGTCATTTGCTTTACTTCAACCTTAATGTCTCTGCTTAGAATGCCTAAACAAACCTTAAGAGGCATATGCCATGCCCTTTAAAAATTTCTAACTCCTCGCTGATGGTAAGGAGTGTAGAGATAGAAGTTATGGATGTGCACCTCAAAATGGATAGCATAGAGATATATGATCCATCAGAGTTGGATAGAAAATTCCAGCCTTCATTAAGTAGATCTTCGTAATTGCTAAAGGATATTTCTACTTGATTATAATTGTTTTTATCTTTTAATTCTGGTAATTCTTGGATTGTTTTCTGCCAACCCTAAGTTCTGCAGCTTCATTGCAGTTCTTTATTTTTTAAAATCTATGAAGCTTTATGTCCAGCTCTGAGCATGAATGTTTCAACTGTAATTAAGGTACACAGATCCTTGAAGATGATGTAAAGGCTGATGAATTGTGCACTAGGAGGGACTATGCAAGATGGTTAGTCCGTCTAAATTCGTTATTGGAAAGGTAGCAGCCAGTCTATGCATCTGATGGAATTATAATTGTGAATGCTATTGCAAGCTCTGCCTCAGCAGCTTTTTTTTTTATTTTAGGAATCAGAAGCATAGAATTGTTCCATCAATATCACTTTCTGGTTCAGTAATCGCTGCATTTGATGATTTGGGTGTTGAAGATCCAGATTTTGAATCCATCCAAGGTAAGGCTTAATCTTGATTTTTGTTTCTAATCTAATATTGAGTTTGTCGTTAAGGAGTTCTAAAACATGTGTTTCTGGGTTGCATATAAGCCCTTGCTGAGGCTGGCATCATACCCAGCAGGCTGTCAGGGACCAATTCCTGCCCTGGCAATTCAGATGGTGGCTTCTGCTTTTACCCTGACAGGTATGGAACGTGCACTAAACCAGGGATTTTTCCTTAAGTTTCTACCTAAGCCTTGATCTTCTTCTTTTTCTAAGAACAAGGCCTTTCCTTTTACCCTTTCTTTTTACTATAACTTACTTGGTGGTGCAGGTTTATTTCTAGGCAGGATCTGATCAACTGGAAAGCTCAATTAGAGTATGGGTTTTTGCCAGGAATATCAGAACAGGTAAATACATTTCAAATCTGTGATTCTTAAATTTATTGAATTGCTTAAAAAGAAGTAAAATGAGCTTGGTATTTTCACCAGCCTTTCATGTCTTTTAAAACCTGACTTGTCTACAGTCCAGATGTCAAGAACAAAAGTAGATTATATGGATGTAAAGGAGATAAGCTCAGATGCATCACCTGAACTTTTTAACGACATGTTGGCAGGGGACAAGAGCATTATCAGAAAAGTTTTTGGTATCTTCCTCCTCTCTTTCACGTTCCCTTATTTTTTCTGTTAACTACAATTAGAGTTTTTTAGCCTTTTAACTCAATGACAACATAAAACTCAAGTGAGTAAATGCATTCTGTTGACTACCTTATGCAATACCCACAGGCATATGTATATAAAATTCCTCCCTTGTGGATTGCATTGCCACCAATCCGAAAAAGGGATCTTAGGCTTGTGCCAGTCTCTGTAGGATTGGGAGTTGAGCAATTTCAAAGCAAATGTTCATGTCATAGAATTACATATGAAGGTTATGATTCCATGTTCAAATTTGCACAGGACAGAGCAGGCGGTTTCAGCCAAATAAACCTTTAACAAAGGCACAGGCAGCAGTCGCTCTGACAAGTGGCAGGATGTCTGAAGCAGTTTACAGTGAAATATTGAGGCTGGAAGTTGAGATGTCTTTAAGGCAAGCTGCAATGAAAGAAATTTGGAATGAATTTCTTGAGAGAGGAGATATAAAAAGGTTTTGGGATGAGAAGATGAATGAAGAAAGGATACGAGGTTTTGAGGTTGAGAAGCTTTATATTGCCAATTTACATGAATTGGAAGAGGAGAAAATTGTACAAGTGAAAACTTACGAAGAGTGTTTGAAGGAGCAGGCAGCTATGAATTGTCAGAGGCAACTGCTTCTCCGTCTCAAGGAAGAGGTTGATGAGATGTCAGAAAGTCTTGCATCTGAGAGGTCTGTGTATCTAGCTGAGCGGTGTAATCTGCAGGAATTGCTTAGTGAATTACAGTTGGAGCAGGAAAGGATGCTTGATACAAAATCTATACTGGAAGCTGAAATTGAAGCTCTTCGAATCCTCAGGTAAGGATTACTCATAGTCTTCATCTTGATTGTCTTTTTACCCAGTTGATGTGTGGCTGGCATAATAATTTGCTGAACTTGTAGTATTTACTAGATTTATAGTTAACATAGAACTAATTCTTCTACAAATGGGTATAATCGACACTGTCATTATTTATCATCGATAAGCAATGGCATCTCTGATGAACTGGAAGTTTGCTTCCCATCATGATTGTCTTTTTACCCAGTTGTTGGTTGTTTTCAATTTGGAATTCGCTCTGGTACGATAAGCAATGGCATCTCTGATGAACTGGAAGTTTGAATCCCATTATGGCAAGCAGAGCTGGAATAGATGTGTAAGAGATCTGTTGATGAACCCATAAACATTTACATGTTTTCTACCATTTCAAACAATCATCAGTTCCTGACCTTACCTGATGCTTGTTTCAACTTCAATCTGATGCTATATTTAATGAAGTACAATCTTCTTAATTGAATCAATTGATACAATTTGGGATAGCATAATTTGCACTAAATAAATCACCCCCCTCCTTTTCCCTATCTCGTTTTTTATAATCTCCCTTTCTGTTAAAATTCTGATTTCTTCGTGGTTCTCTATTTCTAATTACTTGAAGCAATCACTGCAGATCTTGGGTAGAAGACGAGGCAAGGAAAAGCCAAGCCCGAGCTAAAGTTCTCGAGGAGGTTGGACGAAGATGGAAATGGGACAATCAATCCTGATTATATCAGTGCCTTAGCAGGACTATCCAATAACTACCCCCTTCTTTTTTCATGGAGGACTATATAAGATACCTTGAATGTGAAATTTGATTGGTGAATTGTGATGGGGGATTTTGGTTTGTCCTTTTTTGTAATATAGTCATCATGTATGTTGATGTTGTTACTTGTGGATTAATTAATCAACCAATTAGGGAGTATATGACATAATAGAAGGATGTTTCAGGAGCATTTCTTCCTCCAGTATGTTTCTATCTAGTGGCAATCCTCCACTAGTTTGTTTAACCCAAGAGTGGATGCCAGTTAATGCCTAAGGTTGGGACAGACTGTGTTCTATGTTTGTCTCTATGACTATTGTTTTTGATGGACGAATTCGAACTGTATTCTTGACTTGCTCTTTCAGAATTCGAACCGAAACTAAAGGTTCGAAGACTGTTTTATCAACGATATTCATCTGAAGAATACGCCAAAAAAAAAGAAAGAAAAAAGAAAGTTTTCATGTTACACTTTTTGTTGTCGGTTCTAACCTCCATGCGTGGGGAAGGCTAGAAAATTTTCAGGACAACTAGTAATGCGCCATAGAATGTTCTAGATGAAAGCTTTGAGTTGACGATTAAGCCATACGATCACTGCTGCAAGCTCCTTTCAATTGTTTGGACGGCGAACCAATTATGCAAATGCTATAATTAGACGAAGAAAGTAAACATTCGGATTAGAGCTCACTTCTCAGTGCTCAGGTGGTGCAAGACTTCTTCGCGTTGTCGATTTACCCCAAGCATGCCCACTATAAGAAAGTGCTGGCACCAAGTGATTAAACCATCAAGTTAGGGCAGGCCAGTAATTTGGGAAAGATGAGTGGTTTGGTACGACTTACTGAACCCAAAGCTTTCAAAAAAGTCATTGCCGCCCAGGCACTTGACTTGGCGCTGCAAATTGCAATGCTGTATGCTCCACTTTCCCTTGTGCTGTGTGCTTCCATTATAAGCCAAGATTTGTGGTTCAACTGGAGCTTAACTCATGCTTTGGCTCAACTATCTTTGCCTCTTTTCTTCAAACAAACCTGGTATGCCTTCTTTTACCTTGCCCTGATTTTTGTTTTTTCACTCTGTAGAAGTAAATGTAAATGCATTTTGTTATTATCCTTGCTGAGTTGTAGAAAAGTTTAGGACCAAAATTTGTTTTTCTGTGTTAGGAACAGACAACCTAATTTTCTTTTATGTGGTGCCTAAAAAGACCCATGTGGTTATAATTATATTTCAGCCGAGCACTAAAAAGAAACAAAAATAATGAGAGCCCATAGTCACTGGATTGGTTTTGATCTTTTTGGATAATAATTTGGCTGCTACTGGATCGGCAGTGGTGACCACTCATTTCTCAAGACCCAGGAAACGATAATTTGCTTCTGTTTTTGGTTTGCTTCTTCTTTTTCTTCTTTGATTTATCTTATTGACCAGTTTACTCCAACAAATTCCTCGGCCAAAAATGGATATCGACGAGTGGCAGTGTTTCTGTCAAATATGTCTGCTCCTGAATTTGCCAGCTCACTCTGTTGATAGAATTATGTTTTGTTGGATTTCAAGAAAGCATTTACATTATTTTGTCAATGGTGGTCAATACTTGTTTAGAAAGCAAGGATATATGAGCCTTATGATATTTTGGAGTTTCCCTCAAATATGCCATCCAAAAAATCCAAGAGAGAAAAAGGTCTAAGGAACACATGAATTTCCCCAAATGAACCAAAATTTTTAGCTAGAGATACGAAATTCTAGAGAAAAAGCCAAAAATTGGCAACATGTGAAATGAGGAATCAATCACCTAAAAGTTTGCGTCACTTTTTATATGCTTGGATTACTTCTTACATATGCTCCAGTCCATTAAGCAAACAGATGGGAATTAAATTTCAGCCTTACCTCTACAAACCCACTTTTCTATTTTGCCTTTGAACTGGACCCACCTCTTAATGATACGACCTTACTCCTATTTACTTATGCCGATCCTTGCCTTGAATCCAAAGATTTTTCTTTCTCCGAACAACAGATCGAATGGCTAGGAAGCATGGCAGCATCTGGAGTGGACCCATCTTTCTTAATCACCCCGATTAAACTTTGGTCCCTCTTCCAATGAAAATGACTATCCAGATAAGGTTAAGGTCAATCAGATGGTTAAAATTTACTGATAGTTTGATCTTTGAGTTATGATCAACTTGAGATTGATATTTATCAGCTAAAGGGCTTTTAAGAGGACAAGCACCGAAGATTTAGCTACTAGTAATAGCTGTCAAAAGAATAAGTTGTTAGGAGGCATAAAATAAAAGACCAGACAGTCTAACCTACTTTTTTTTTTTTTTTAACTTATACATCAGTTACATGTGATACATAGGTAGAAACTAGATACAAAAGTGGCTTAAGTAGTTTGTAAAAAATTACAATTAGTTGTCGTCTCATTCGGGTTGTTTTCTGGTTTTCTTCAACTCTATATATTCCTATGTAACAAAACGGTAACATGATATACCTACCAAATTTTCGCAATTTGTAAACATCCTTCTGGAGCAAAAGTGGCCACTAGTTATACTGGTGGTTGCTGTAGCTCTTAGCAAGTTGAGCTGGAATTCTGCTTATCAGGAACTCTTCGTGGACAAGCAAGTCGGTCTTTGAGAGGTCTGTAAACCTGATAAGATGATAATGCAGATTTTCCTAGAAACTACATAGATTGAATTTGCATATAATTATAAGTTCTGTAATCTGGGTTTTATACAGGCTTTGCACTGGTATTTCTTGTTAAGCTCAATTGACTGTTGCAGATTCTGGCTAGCTCATGGTACAATTCCGGGCCATGATGGCTTGAATTTTCAGTTATGGAGATAAGGAGACATGGGTGGAGAGTTGTTTTGGGATTGGTTTGTTTCTATAGATGAGTGGAAGGTTAGGATTCTGCTACCAACAATACCTACATGATAGTCAGGTTAGGCTTCCTGGTTGCTGCTTCAATTGCAGCCTTTGCAGTTAAGCAGCTTAATGTAAAAACTGCAAAGTCATCAGACTCTTCGGCCAAACGTTCGGGTAAAAATTTCTACAAGTTCTGTTCATAATTTCATCTTTTATCAGAAGCAGAAAGAGTGCATCCTATACACATAATATAAGTCATGAAGTTTATGTAGATAGCAGAACTTACGTAAAAGATTTGTTTTTTATGCTGATATACTTACGTGCTTCTTGCATTTTGTGGTTTCTCTGGTCAAATTGAAACTCAGAAAATGGTGAAGCAAGCTATGAGCAACATCAAATCAAAGGAGATGACAAAGAACAGTTTACATATTCTGATGATAGCATTAAAGAGAAGGATGTAAGTATAGGCACAAACTTAAATCAATTTTTTATCTCAATTTCGACCCAATATGTACGTGAGGTACTGCTTTTCATTATTTTCTTTGAATTAATGTCCCCTACATGTTGCAGGTGGAGGAAGAAGAAGAGGAAGAAGAGGTCAAATTGATTAATAGCATATTTAACCGGGCTCAAGGTACTCTGCCTGGTATAGAAGATGAAGATATTTTACCTGAATTTGAAGATCTTCTGTCGGGGGAAATCGAATATCCATTACCTGGGGAAAAGTTTGACAAGGCAGAGAAAGACAGGATTTATGAAACTGAGATGGCAAACAATGCAAGTGAACTGGAACGTTTGCGCAACCTAGTAAAAGAATTGGAGGAGAGAGAGACCAAGCTTGAAGGTGAATTGCTTGAGTACTACGGGTTGAAGGAGCAGGAATCAGACATCGTTGAATTACAAAGGCAGCTCAAAATTAAGACAGTTGAGATTGACATGCTTAAAATTACCATCAATTCCCTGCAAGCTGAGAGGAAGAAGCTTCAAGAAGAGATTTCACAGGGAACTTCTGCCAAGAAGGAATTGGAAGCGGCAAGGAACAAGATAAAGGAGCTGCAGAGGCAAATTCAGCTTGATGCTAACCAGACGAAGGGCCAGTTATTATTGCTCAAACAACAAGTTTCTAGTCTTCAGACAAAAGAGCAAGAAGCTGTGAAAAAAGACGAAGAGGTTGAAAAGAGGCTGAAGGCTGTGAAGGAGTTGGAGGTAGAAGTTGTTGAACTTAAGAGGAAGAACAAAGAGCTTCAACATGAAAAGAGAGAGTTGACTGTTAAGCTGGGTGCTGCTGAAGCTAAAGTAGCATCCCTCTCCACAATGACAGAGGTAAGAGCCATAGTTTTCAATTAAGATGTTCTTAAGCACATTCCTGAGGTTTTTTCTTCCTTTTTCCTCATTATATTCTAGGGTGGATGGTGGCATATGTTTATGTCCGACTGGCATATTAAGAGATATGCTGTCCTCCTATCCAATTTTTAAAATGCAACATGTTTCCTTTCAATTTTTGAGTTCAGTAGTGCATAATTATTCTGGATAATAATGGAACAGTTAATCGTGCTAGATGTTTGGAGTTTGGACTAAACTTTCTCCCAATCACATTTGTAGCTAACACCTTTTCTCGAGCAACTGCTACACAGTAAAGGATATGTAGTTGCAGCAAGATTAAGATACCAAATAGAAGAAAATGAGTATTTATAGATATCTAAGCAAAACTTATTTCTAGAATATAGTTCAAAAAATTCAATGGACAGGACTGGTTAAATTTTTATTTCATATCTTAAAAGTGCGATCTGTGTTTGTTTGCATGATTGCTCAAATTCGTCCTTGCTATGCTTTGTCTAATGATGCTGCAGACAGAATTGGTTGCCAAGGTAAGAGAGGAGGTCAATAATTTAAAGCATGCAAATGAAGACCTGTTAAAGCAAGTGGAAGGACTTCAAATGAACAGGTTTAGCGAAGTTGAAGAGCTAGTGTACCTTCGTTGGGTCAATGCATGCTTGAGGTATGAGCTCCGGAACTACCAAACGCCTTCAGGAAAAGTTTCAGCACGTGACCTGAATAAAAGTCTGAGCCCCAAGTCCCAAGAGAGGGCTAAACAACTATTGTTAGAATATGCCGGATCAGAACGAGGACAAGGAGACACGGATCTTGAAAGCAACTATTCTCACCCATCTTCTCCTGGAAGTGAGGACTTTGACAATACTTCCATTGACAGTTCTTCTAGCAGATACAGTTTCAGTAAGAAACCTACTTTAATTCAAAAACTGAAGAAATGGGGCAGAAGTAAAGATGATTCAAGTGCCTTTTCTTCACCATCCAGATCCTTCTCGGGAGGATCTCCGGGCAGGATTAGCATGAGCCACCGACCAAGGGGTCCATTGGAATCCTTGATGCTAAGGAATGCAGGTGATGCTGTAGCCATCACTTCGTTTGGGAAGTTGGAGCAGGATGCTCCTGACTCTCCTGGCGACTCACTAAATTCTGTTGCTTCATCTTTCCAAGTAATGTCTAAATCGGTGGAAGGAGTTTTAGATGAGAAGTATCCTGCCTATAAAGACAGACACAAGTTGGCCTTAGAAAGGGAGAAGCATGTTAAGGAAAAAGCAGAACAAGCAAGAGCAGTTAAGTTTGGTGACAGTTCAGATTTTGCATTTAGAACAAAGGGGGAGAGAGTTTTGCCTGTAACTTTGCCGCAAAAACTTTCCCAAATAAAAGAGAAACCAGTTGCCTCTGGTGAGTCAAATGACCAACCTAGTGATGGTAAGGATGCTGATTCTCAGACAATAACCAAGATGAAACTTGCCCACATCGAGAAGAGGCCTCCTAGAGTGCCTCGGCCTCCTCCTAAATCATCTGCTGGTGCTCCAGTTGCTACAAATACCAATCCTTCAGGTGGAATGCCACCTCCACCACCTCCTCCACCAGGTGGTCGAGGCCCACCAGGTGCACTGCCACTGCCTCCATCACCTGGTGGACCTCCTCGTCCTCCTCCTCCACCTGGAAGCTTGCCAAGAGGAGCAGGAAGTGGTGATAAAGTTCACCGGGCTCCGGAAGTAGTAGAATTTTATCAGAGTTTGATGAAACGTGAGGCAAAGAAGGATGCATCATCTTTGATTTCTTCAGCATCTAATGTATCAAATGCTCGCAGCAACATGATTGGGGAAATCGAGAACAGATCGTCTTTCCTGTTGGCTGTGCGTTAATTGTTTGCCTTTATTTTCATTTACCTTCTTATTTTGCTCATAAAATAGTTTCACTGTTCTGATCTGCTAATGCGAAATTGTATGAGCTGGATCCAGGTGAAAGCTGATGTAGAAACTCAAGGTGATTTTGTCCAGTCATTGGCAACTGAAGTTCGAGCAGCTTCTTTCTCGAACATAGATGACTTGGTGGCCTTCGTAAACTGGCTCGATGAGGAATTATCTTTCTTGGTATGTCATTTACTTCCTAGTGGAAAAGATTTGGTAGTTATCTATTAGAGCTAATGACTTTTTAAGATAAGAAAAGGGATGAGGGATCTCATTTGGTTCAAGGGCAAAGATATTTTCAGGAATTATGGAACATATATAATCATCATACCAAACCCTTTGTAATATAGTTTTCCTTATTATTATATCAGAATTTTCTTTTAGCAATAACTTCACCTCCAGCAAACCTATGAACTCTTTGTTTCCTTCAATGCTTTAAGTGGCACGGTTGAAGTATAAAGAGAAACTTCAACTGCCAAATATTTCCAAAAGTAATATTCCTTGGCTGCTAGGTTATTCTCTGAGCCTCTGATCGTATCAATTCATTTTTCTGATTTCATTAGGTTGATGAGCGAGCAGTTCTCAAGCACTTTGATTGGCCTGAAAGTAAAGCTGATGCATTGAGAGAAGCAGCTTTTGAGTACCAGGATCTCATGAAATTGGAGAAGCAAGTAACATCTTTTGTTGATGATCCCAACCTCCCATGTGAAGCTGCTTTAAAAAAGATGTACAAATTGCTCGAAAAGTAAGTACATTCTTCTTCTCATGCTTGTAAATTTAATAGATTATAGCACTCTGAGAATTTTGCCAACTTGCTACCATATTTTGTATATGGAATTTCAAAATAGAAATTTTATTGTAGTGGTGGCCTGATATCTTCTACCGCTATGAGCTGTTAGGAGATAGTTTATTCTTTCAAATAGCTTGATTTTCTGTCTTATTTTTTATTTTACTTTTTGCCAGAGTGGAAAACAGTGTATATGCACTACTACGTACAAGAGACATGGCTGTTTCACGATACAAGGAGTTCGGGATCCCAACCAATTGGTTATTAGATTCAGGAGTTGTTGGCAAGGTATGCTTAAAACGAGAAGTCATAAATTTTGATTTATTTATACATGGAATTAGTTCTGAAAATGTTGTTTGGCTTTCTATCTTTTCACTCCTGGACTCACGTTTTCTTCAATAATTGCATATTTAACAGGTTAATTTTATTTCTCTGTGGATAGTTATGATAAGCAATTTTATAAACAAAACTCCTATTTGCTGAAGATTCAGCAAAACACATTGACCCTACATTTTGTCTTGGTGAAAAAAATGGCCATGAAGACAGCTTAATGCCATTGCAGTTTGACAGCTTTTTTAGCAATTGATACAACATTTACTCACGAGACAAGTATAATTCATGTTTGGATTAAGTACCCATAAAAATGCAGATCATTTAAGGGAAAACTTCATTGTTTCAAAACTAAAGTTGGTCATCTAACATCTTTCTCATTGCAGATCAAGCTCTCGTCAGTGCAGTTGGCAAGAAAGTACATGAAACGTGTTGCATCAGAACTTGATGCAATGGGCGGACCTGAGAAAGAACCAAACAGAGAGTTTTTGGTACTCCAAGGCGTTCGTTTTGCTTTCCGTGTTCATCAGGTATATTTTATCTCCATGATGTTAAATTTGAATAATCAAATGCAAATTATCCAGATGGCAATTGGACAGGGTATTTGCAAATTCTCTCTGGTGTCTATGTTTCCATAGCATTTAATTACAAGTTAACCTTATAACTTTGGAGTTTCTTATAAATTTGCAAATTCGTCTCTTGACATGGACCTATTTCCAGTTTGCTGGAGGCTTCGATGCAGAGAGCATGAAGGCTTTTGAAGAACTGAGGAGCCGTGTACGTTCACAAATGGGAGAAGAGAATAAGATGGAAGGACCATAGTTTTTCCCTTAAATTTTACGTTGTATATTGCGTCATCTCATTCCATGTATTCATAGAACATCATATAGATTGCATATTGTAGAAAAAAAAAACAGTCCAGTTTGAGCCAAAAAAAGTTACTTTATACAGGAAATATTTATAACATTTCTTTTCCTTTGGTTGATTGGCTCCTCGTCAACTTTTTGCGTGCTTAGTTTGGGCAACAAAAAAGAAAGACGAAAACGGATTTCAGGTAGCATAGCGTTGATAAGATGCTATAAAGTCGACGTGAGACTGAATAGCTGGAAGTAGAAAACATGGCTTTGTGATTGCTCAAGACATATGGCAAGTCAATTACCACAGTTTCAACTTCACCTCGTTACAGAAACTTGTTAAGGGAGTAGACTGGTTTGGTTCAATTTTGAGTTAAATAAGGGAGTAGTGTTTTTTAAGGGTTTCTCCGTCGAGATTCACTTAGATACTAAAACTGGATAAGATTTCTGTTTTCTGTACTTCCAGTTTGGGAAGTAACATTGTCCTGCTTTAGATAAGGTAATGAACTCCATGATGTCTCAAGGACATTCGAAATCCACGGTAAAATAGGTGCATTTCACATCTGGGTGGGGTAAATAGGCGACATTGTGTGCTTGACGCTCAAGAGAAAATGAACTGTTGCAGAGAATCCCTCAGAGACCCCTGTGAATGAGGTTTTTTTTCCCCTCAAGATATGGCCTTTAACTTTCTATCCCAATCTGGCTAAGGTCTAATAAACCCAAAGCAAAAGCTGAAAGCTTCACATTACGGAGAGGCTGATGAACATTGCAGGGTTCGAAGGTCTCTCTCTCTCTCACACACACACATACAAGGATGCAAGCACTTGCACACCACATAGCAATTTTCAAGGAACAGTCAAAATATCCGAAGTTCTCCACCTTCAATTTACCCCTCTGAAGATTAAGTGTAAAAACTAAGAACTGCACTCGCAAAGTATGTCTATAGGCTTTTCACCAAATGGAAAATCACATCACCTAGCTCACTTTGGTTATTGAATGGTGAATTTAAATGTTATCTTCAAAGGATACGACTAACAGCTGATGCACACTTCCATGTACTCACAGCTGGACACAATGTGCAATGGTTGTAGATAAAGAGCAATAATCAGTTTATTCCAAGGGGAAATGACCCCGAAACAATAACCACCATCAGATAAAATCTTTGTTACAAATGCCCAACACATCAATCTTCGACAGACAACAATGACAGCAAAAATCATAACTAGTAGTATTGCAGTCCCACTATCGCATTGTGATTACAAGACTTCTGTCAAAGAACTTTGCACCTCCCACCTTACCTTGAATTTTTGTAGGGAGACAAATTACACGTCTCTGGTCCCCTGCTTCAACCAGCAACTCAGATCCTCCCCTGTACTGCATTTATCAGGAAAGCATAAAAACCGATTTTAATTTTACCAAACAAAAAAGCAGCATAAAGATCTTTTTGCAACTATCCCACGAGAAAAACAGGATACAATGCTGATAATGCATAAATAGGCAAGTTGAATAAATTTTTTTTTTAATTTTTTGCATTAAACAATGAATTCATACTTCTCACTGTTGGAATTAAGGTTACTCGTACCTGTGAATTAATTCTACAGTTCAAAAAAGGATCTTCTTAAACCTTTTAAAGGCTAATTGCTTTTATTCAATGCGCCAATCAAATTTGCTAACTATGATCTCAGGACTACTACAAATTGAATTTTAAGAAACTAAGCTCAGATTATTAACACACATAAATTTCCAGAGATAAATTGATGGCTAATCAACTACTTCTATGAGATTTGTTTCAAAAAGAAAACCTAAGAGATTAACCCTTCCTAGGAGTTCATTTCCTGTATCTTCTTTACAACGATTTAAAAGCCAGAATATTCTACTATTTTGGAAGTGCATGAAGCTACTTTTGTCTCCCTTGGAATGATTTTCCCAGGCATATGCATTTTTTTCCAATGAAGACTCAAAAGAACTGCAATTGTAGAAAACACGATCTGAACTATGATAAAAGATTTCGAAAGGACCTTCAGAACTATGATATGCACACAAAAAAAAAAAAAAAAAAAGAGGTTTTTCCGGCCATTTTAGGTACTATTGCAAATTTTTTGAAGTATACGACTAAAAAAAATTTGGAAAGTTTCTGAAATATGATAAAAATCTTTGCAAAAATTGAAGGAAGGAGGCATACTTGGTATAGCTTGATCTCCGATTTGTCAAAACCTGGCATGAAAAGTGTAACTGATTTTTTAGCTGTGTCGAACTTTACTGGTGGTGCCATGCTATTGCCGTGACTTGCTGGCAAGGAAAATAGAGTTCTTGCATCTTGGCCAACTGTGTTTAGCATGATCGAATTCCATTCTGGAGGGTGACCCATAGAGAGATGTGGAATGAAAGCAAAAGGTAAGGGCGAAAAGTTTTTCTTGACTCCTTCCAAAGATTCTTCATTCAAATGTGGAGAAAAAATTCCAATTGCACCAGAAACTTGAGCACCAGCTTGGAGGGTACAGCCCCAATAACGTAATGCAGAATTCACTGATGTTGGAATGTTAGGGTCCAGTACAAGATAGCAACCAAATGTAGATGGTTCAGAAAAAGCAGAAGATCCTCGCTGCAGTATAATCAGCACAAAATCATATCAGATTTATGTAGAAATGGAGAAGCAAGAAGTGAGAATCACATTTACCTCCAATATTCTTTCCAAACTGTCCCATATTTCAGCACTCATTTTCCCGTTCAAATTGTATTTGCTGCCACTTAAACTCAATGCATCATCAACAAGTCGCAGGAGTGAAGGACCGGCCAATCTCCCAAGATCAGTCTTCTCAGCCAAGTTCCTCAGATATTTCAAATACAATCTGCACACAGTTATGTTGTTGAATACAGACAGCACGAGAGAAAGAGTTCGGTGGGGGGAGGTTAGAAATTCAACTAACCTTGCTTTACTGGCTGCTCCTATCATCCGTAAAGTTTCATCAGTGCTGACTCCATCATATACTATTATGTCGAATTTATCTTTGTTGGTCTGGTTAACATTAATCGATCCTACAAGCCTTGCAAGTACATATACTGCAAAAATAGAATCCATTGCAGGAAGCACGCCAAGCTCTTCTCCAACCACCTTTCACATTATGATGAAAGATACAAAACATTCAATGTGAAGTGCACTATTTGATGACTGTGATACACCACAAGCATATTAAGAGAGCTGTTACATACCTACCCCTTCAAGAACTCCTTGAGTCATCTTAAGACGAGAATCAGCTTGCTTCAGCCGATCAAGAGGATCAAGAAGCATCTGCAGATATCAAGAGCAATTCACAATGTGCCCAAAGCATTAACATAAAAACTTTGAAGTTCCACAAAGAAAAAAGGAAAAAAGAAGTGAAAAAAACACACTTTAGTGGTTTCCAACCTAACAGCCGAAAGGTTGTCATTGCACTTGGTAGGAGAAGTTCCAATCTTACAGTTTAGTATATATTCAGCAGAGGGATCTTGGGTCTGTATCACCAAGCATGTCCGAAGACCAGACATTGCATAATGCTGAATAAAAGTTGGCAAAACAAAGCAAGAAAAACATTAGCATCCCACCATAACTTGCACGAATTGCATCCAAAATCAACAACCTAAGCAAAGTAAATAACCAATGTTAAGCTTCTACATTCCCATTTACGCCTACACGAGTAAGAAGCAATACAGTGTATTGATTATCATAAAAAAAGTAAGAAAACAGTGACCAAAGGAACTTCCATCTGGAAAAAACTTCGGTTTATTTTTCTGTCTCCTAAATGTCACTCATATACTTTGATTCGATCATATTACACTCCAGCCTATCACATCATATGTCCGCATTTGGTTCAGACAGTTTAAAATCATAAATTTACTGTCTCTTGGTCAATTATGAAAAACTCCAAACAAAGATCATAAGGCCATAGTTCCATCACAATGTCCTTCCATTATCAACAAATGTCTTTAACTTTCAGACCTCTAACTCATTAAAACACCATGTAATTGTAAAAATAACTGATTGTATACATCAAAAAAGATAAAAATATATTGACATCATTTCATAAGTTTTTTTTTTTTTTTAATGAATAATCATTGCATAAGTTGAATAACAAGAATTCAAGGAAAGAAGAACCTGGGCAGCGAAAATTGCAGATGTAGTCTTGCCAGAGCCACCTTTGCCTAAAAAAGTGACCAACTTTGTTGAAGAATTTTGATTATCATTATCATTCAAAGAAGCAGCAGTAATGAATAGAGGTGTAGCTTTTGTTCTCCTAACCATCTTGATTTTACAACCACGTTTAAAAGGAGAGAAACCAAAATCTGGGTTTGCAAGTAGCAAAGGCGAGGAAGAAAAAGAAGCCATCTTTTGCAAAATTTGGGCAAGTTTCAGTGGGTTTTATCGGATAGAGAATAGGTCAGTGACTTGGTGCTGTCAACGATGGAGGTGCTGGCCTCTTGGCCTGTTGGGTATGGTGGTTAATTAATTAATTTATTAGTAATTTATAAGATACCGTTGGCCGGTGCTCTTTGCAATTTGTTTCCTAAAAAGCATTGTAATTACCTCACCCTAAAATAATAATAAATAAATAAATAAAATAAAAAATCAACATGTTTAACAATAATTATTGACAGTGTAGTTAAGATGTTGATTCACTGACAGTAATTTTAAATTATTTAACATATGAATTTGTCGAAGTATCCTGCAATGGTACAAGCAATGTCATTAAACCTTGGATAGCAATCCAATTAAGCTATCTTGGGTATATGATTAAGATCCAACTGATGAGTAGTCTTAGCATAATTCATTAGAAAAAAATAATAAAAAAAAATTAATCAAGAAAATGATCTAAGTTAAATAGGAAAATGATTATCGGAAATGTCATTATCCGACGTTAGATGAGACTCTCGAAAAAAAAAAAAATCTAGCATGTCGGAGATTTGCATTTTTGTTTGCGAGTGATTATAGGGATGCGATTTATTATTGAGTTTGGAGTTATCACATAGTATTAAAGAAACTAGAAACCTAAAAATAAGCACTCGGTATAGAGATTATAGGGTAAGGAGTTGATCACGTTTTGAGAAGATATTGATAATCCAAATACGCTCTTTTCGCGAAAGATATCACGTTTAGTTTAGTCTTAAATTCATCTCTTAAAGTATTTTATTTTATGCCAACTTATTTTCAAATTAAGCTCCAATTTTCAAGTTATATTAAGTTTTTTTATTTTGAGCGTGACATCGTATTAAAACGATCATCAATCCCTTTTGTCAAACGACACGTCGATTCAAATATCGGATCCACTTTAAGTCTCGACACAACTAGTGTGTCAAAGAACATATTGATTATTAAATGTTGATTTTTTGCTAACAACGAGTCCCTATCGGTTAGGAGACTTCGTTAAGAATTTTTGTTATTTTTTTGACAATGATAGTCCCTATCCAATAGGATACTTCATTAAGGATTTTTATTTTTATTTTATTTTTCTATTTTTATATATTATTTGTTAATAAAAAAACTATCATCGATCCTTAAAATTTAGGAGACTCGACAATTATTTTATCAAGTAATTATCTAATCTAAATACTATAATAAAAATTCTAAAATGTAAAGTTAATTAAATAAATTAAAAAAAAAGACATCTAAGGAAAATTAAATCTAAATTAATATTGGAAATAAAATGCATTGATAAACAAAAACAAGCATGCTTGAATTGTCTAAAAATAAAAGATCATCACTAAAAAATCATTGGGCCTATGATCCATTAGGGCAGGTGCCCATTGCGATAGACCCTTTAACCTTTGTAATTATACTTCTTTTTTTTTTTTCCTTCCCTTTTTCTAACTGGACTAATTCTATTTTTTATTACATCTGATTTTTTTACCTTTTCTTTTCTTTCTTTTTTTGTTATTTTTCGTTAATATATATATATATATATATATATATATATATATATATATATATATATATATATATATATATATATATTATGCGTTGGGAGGGTGGGGCATAAGTTGGATTGAAACTAGCTTCTACTTGGCTTCTTTCCTTTTTTTTTTTTTTTCTAACTTAGTTGGCGGGGTGCGGGTTGGGCTTGGCCCAACCCATTCCTTTTTTGTTACACGGGCTGGACTAAGTCCACAAACAAGGCTCGAACATTTTCTTCTCTTTTTTAGATCAAACCAAACAGCTAACCCTCTCTCTTGTATTCTTCATTATTCTTTAATTTTCTCTCTCTAATCTTTATCTTCTTCCTAGAATTTAAACCCTCATTTGAATCCAAATACTTAACTAGCTAAGTCATTTCACTCCTTGATCTCGATCAAAATTATAATTTAAAGCTTAAATAAATAACAAACAGGAATTTAAAACGATTGAAATAATAAAATCTAAAACTCGAAAAAAATGAAGAACATTGACCTAGTATGTTTAACCGATGATCGTTATTTTGAAATTAGGATGGATGGAAATTGATTCTCGTGGTGGTTTCAAGAGGATTAGGAGACTCTCAATTGATTTTAAATGTTTGGATAAGGTTTAGAATCGAAGAACCAAAGTCCAACGAATGGAGAGAAATGTAGAAAACGAACCTAGAAAAGGAAGAACACCAACCCAAAAAAATGAAGAACACCAAGTGGTCGCCTAGGAAAAATTTAAAAGAAAAAACCTAAAAAATCAAAATTAAACCTAAGAACGTGAAAATCGAATGGAAACCGATGAAATTCAAAACAAAACTCGAAGAAACAATAAAAAAACGAATTGAAATCCCCACAGGTGAAGAACACCTACCTAGAAAATGAAGAAAGCAATGCTAAAACCCAAAAATTTCCTTGAAAAATTCAACGACTAAGAATAAACAATCTATATTTCGCCCTTGATTTTCACTCCCTTCCCCTAGAAAAATTCCCCTTTTCTTGGCATCCCCCTTCCTAACTAAAACAAATCTTTTTATATGCAAGAATCGCTTATTTATCTCCCCAAGATCACCTTATTCACACTCGGATCCTAGCTACCAAGGCTGAAATTTTACCTTTGATCAGCCAAAACTAAGAAATGGATTGCGTTAAGGCATGATCCTTTGTTGGTATCAAATCCAGCTAAGGATCATAGTAAATGTAAAATAAAAAAAAATGAGATCAAGGGAAGATTTGTCTCCTGTGAAAGATCGAAGAACAATCATAGGAGAAATTTTTGGATTAGAACGGATGACAAGTAGTCTACTAGACTTTGGTCCTATCATTTGCTTTAAAATTCCAATTTGGTCCATATGAATTTTAATTACTTGCAATCGTGTCTTTTTTCTATGCAATTTCAATCCCTATAAGGTGTAAATTTATCAATTAAGTCCCTATAGAGTGTAATTTAGGTTTTAAAATTTTTAATTGATTCAATTGTACCCCTAATTACCTTAATTGCACTTCTCTTTAATGTGATTATGTCTCTAGATAAATTTATTTTATTTTCTAAATATTTTCCTTTTTTTGTATTTTTATCCTTTTTTCATTTATTTATTTATTGGTAGTAAACTCCAAAATCAAATCAAAATGAAATAAAAAAAAATAAAGTAACAACAAAACATATGGAAAAATTTTAGGTTATGATAGTAAAAATGGAAAGAATTGTTTTTCTTATTTTTTTTTTCTATTTAGTTGATTTGTGTGCATATAAGAAGAAAGTTTTGGTTTTTCTTATAGAACGATAGCTAAAGAGAATAATTGGAGACAAAAAAAGAAAAGAAAAGAAAATTTCTTAATTTTTTGACTAATTCTATAGAAAGAAAGAAAGATTTTTTTTTTTTTTTTGTGCAAGCATTAAATTTTGAGTATTACAATTATAGAGAATTATAGTATTCAAAATAGTGATCTCATATAGTATTAGGTCTTTTAAAAATACATAGATTTTATAGATTTTAGGCTTTCATTGTGAAACAGATTTATCTAAAGAAGTAACTTGTATTATTGCCAATGTTTTGCTTCTCAATTTCATAGAGAAACTTGAAAGATTGTATTGCTTTTTTAGTAATAGTGAATTATTTCAAAATTAGTCTCATGCTTTTTCCTCTACAATAAAGCGTGTTTATTAAGTAAACTTGGTGTTTCTTGTAGTTGTACTCTTGTAATTAATTTATTTGTACTCTTGATTATTGTGTGTATTTAATTTAATTATTTTCTCATAAAACTTAATTTAAACGAAGTGGGATTATATTCCTAATAGCGGTATTAAAGCTTTTGTTGGAATATTTATGTAAATTAGATGAAAAAAATAATTCAAAAACCATGATCAAACTAACGGCTTCAAATTATTCGACTTGGAAGCCGAGGATAGAATATTTATTTTATTACCCCGATTTGTTTGATTCAATTAAATTAGATAAAACTAAATCGACTTTCCATACTAATGGTACTTGAAAAAAAACATAGAAAAGTTATTGCAGTTATTAGATAGTGGGTGGATAATAGTGTGTTTCACCATGTATATAAAGAGATAAATGCCCAACTTTGAAAAAAAAATTAGAGAGCATGTATGAAAGAAAGAATGCATGGTATAAAGCTTCTTTAATTAGGAAACTTGTAAATTTAAAATATCGAGATGGAAGGTATGTTGTTGAACACTTGAGTGACTTTTAAGATCCAATTAATCAGTTGATGAGCTAGATGATAAGTTACAAGTACTATTGCTATTAGAGATTTTGTCAAACAATTGTGAGATTTTAGTTGTGACATTTGTAATTCTATTTTTCATCTTGCTTTATCGTTTTTCATGGTTAAAGATAGCTTGCTCAATGAAAAAATAAGACGAAGCAAATTAGTAGCGGATGAAATACAAGCTCTTGTCACAAAAAATAGAGGAAGGAGTAGTAAAAAAGAACTTAGTAAGCACAATAAATTCAAAGACATATCACGGATCAATAATAGTTTTAAATATTATCATTGTGAAAAAAAAGGTCACATTAATAGAAATTACAAGGCATAGAAGAAATGAACAAGAAGAATTGAAGGATCAATAATAATAATAATAATAATAATAATAATAATGAGAACACCACTGCAGTTGTTCATTTCAAATTAGGATGAGGCGATGTTTTTATCCGGAGATAATAAATGTAATATTATAGATCCTTGTGTTGAATGTGTTCTCGACTAAGTGGCTACATATTATGTTACTTCTTGGAAGAAATTCTTTACTATATACAAATAGGAGACTTTAGGAAAGCAAAAAAAAAAGGACAATAATAGTTATGACATTGTTTGGGAGTTGGTAATATGTGTATAAAGACATGTACATGTTATGCACTAACCTTGAAAGATATGACACATGTACATAATTTACGTTTGAATCCGATTTATACTCCTATCTTGAATATTGTTAGATACTATAATCTTTTTGGTGGGAGATGGAAACTCACCTAAGGATCAATGGTTGTTGCTTAGAGGTAATATTTTTGATAAATTATACAACACAAAAATGTAGTTGAGCAAATCCGTAAAGCGTATAGTTAGATATAAAAATTTCTCTAAAATTATGGTCTAAACGATAGGCTCAAGTGAATGAAAAATGATTGATAAAAAAATATTATATTATTTTTGCCAAGGAGATTGTCACATACGAGGGAGTGTTGGAATGAAGAACATGAAATTGATATTAAGCCATGATTGATAATGATGATGGTATAGATAAGGAGAACGCCGAGTAGAGAGAGCATGACCCTCCGCTTTAAAATGTAGAGTGTCAATTGTATAGGTCTATTAGTCGAGTATAATTATTTTATCAAGAATTCGAGTTCGATAATATCTTGTTAATTGATAAAAAAAAAAAAGCTAAATAACTTTTGTAATGTTCTAACATATAATAAGGGTCAAGAAACAAGGTTTAATAATTAGTGATATCATTGGCTTTGTGAGGCAATGGTGAAACAATTGATAATGTTGAGAACGATTCTCCAAGATAAAGATCTCGCTGATATGTCAATAACATCGATAGCTTGCGAGAATAATAGATTTTGTGTTAGTATGACTGACATTAACTCCGGATGATGAGTTGAGGTTTTTTTCTCATGGATCTGGAGGGAGAGATTTGTTAGGTATGTACTTATCATCTAGTCTATGAGTAGCCTTGGCATAACCCATTAAGATAAAAATTAATTAGGAAAGTAATTAATCAAGAAAAAGATTAAAGTTAAATAGGAAAATGATCATTATGAAACTATAAAGAAAAAATTTCTTTTCTTATTTTGTTTTTCCTATTTAACCGACTTGTGTGCATATAAAAAAGAAATCTTTGGTCTTTCTTTTAAATAGTAGCCAAAGAGAGCGAATTGGAGAGGGTAAAATAGAAGGATCTTATATATTGCATAATGAAGTCAAGTATTATATGAGTAGATATATAGAAATTCAAATTTGTCGAATCACTTATGTGATGCTACTTTTTGTCTCATACCTTACTTTTTTTTTTTTTTTCTTAATCAATGAGAGGTCATTTAGGGGTCTTAGCTAGTGATTCGTGTTGTTTCTATCTCGAAGATGAAGCTTATCCCCTATCGTCTCACTAGCCGACCTTGACTCTTGTTATTTTGAGATCATATCTAGTATTTAGAGTTTGTCTCGATTTGGTACCACAAAATAAGAGTTTTTTTTTCCCTCAATTTGGTACTACAAAATAAGAGTTTTTCTCATTTTTTGACGAATTTTATAAGAAAAAATTAAGAATTTTTTAGTGCACAAAATATTGGGGTTCTTTCTAACATTGATTCTTTGATACTACAATTACGAAGAATTGTAGCGTTAGGATGGTAATTTTATATAGTATTAAACTTTGTAGAAACACAAAAATTTTGTAGATTTTAAGTTTTTATAGTGAGATGGATTTATTATTTCAAAGGACTTGAGTGTTTAGAGGATTTGAGTGGTTGTATTACTTATTAGATTATAATGGATTATTTCAAAGTCAATCATGTATTTTTTTCCTCTAAAATAGGGATAATTTTTCGCATAAATTTATTATTCTTATGGTTATACTCCTACGATTGATTTATTTTTGTTTTTGATTATTGTGTGTATTTGATTTAACTTTTTTTACGAAATCTAATTTACACGAAATGAGATTAAATCTCCAACAAACTATTAAATTATTAGTTCAATTATTGGATCATCAGCCAGATCATTGGATCATTGTACTTGCTATAAAATGTAAATAAGATGGAATGAAGTTGTCAGTATAAATTTTTTTAAAAGTGAATGTATCAAGTTCAAATTTTACGTCCCATGATATTTTTAATTAAAAAAATAACCGAGTCAATAGTTGATGCAATTGGTCAAACTAGTAGATTTGACTGGATTTGATCTGATCCGATTGGTCATCCGGTTTCACAACATTGCTCACAAGTTTGCAATATATAATCATCAGGTCCAAACAAATAGACTCATAAAACGTGAATTTGTGCAAAACGAGAAGAGGTTTTTTCCAGAAAAAGGAAATATTGAAGTGGTCAGTCCTTGAAGTGAACTTATTACTGTACGATTGAATTCAATTTACAATAGAGTGATATTGCATACAATATATCTACACTCAATTTCTATGTAAATGATGCCTGATCGAGGATCTATCTATATTCAATATATTTGCATTATTGAGCAAACCCATTGGTAAGCCGACGAATTTATTTATTTTTATCAAAAAAGAGTTTGTGGCTATTTTTTTTTCGCTGAAAAAAAGAAAAAAGAAAAGACGGATAAATTTTAATTTGTCTTTCTGAAATTTTTATGTATTATCTCAATTTCACCAAAAATATTTAATATGTTTTTAATAAAATTTCATATATTTTTTATTTGTTCTACTCTCTATTTTCATCTATTTTTGTCAGAACAGTATTAGAAAAGGTATCAAAATTTTCAATTTCATACTCGAAAATAATAAAATATCTTAATAGAACTCAAAATATAAGAATGAACAAATTAAAAAAAAAATCATTAAAGAGAGATTTATTTTTTTAGCAATAAAACAAATATGACAAAAAAGAAATCATTAAAGAGAGATATTTAAAAAAATATATATCACATAAAAGAATTTTTGACATCAGCACTATCTATCAATCATTTGAAAATATAAGGACAAGATTAAGCTAAAAGCAAATATATAAAAAAGAAAAATTAACAACAACATCAACCACCGTTATCTTTTTCTCTCCTATAATTTTTCATTAGCATATCATATCTATATATTTTATCCAATTCTCCGTCAAAGTAAGCTATAAAATCTTAAACAAAAGTTCTGATTAAAAAAAAAAAATCAAAATCCTATATGGTTGGAATGGTAGAATGAGTATGAGACAAGTTTGACAAAAACTATAGTTAAATCCATTTTATTCTTAATTTTCATTTAATTGCAGTATTGACCATTTTTGTTTTTTTAGGTGAGAATTGAAGTTGGTAGAATTTGGGTATTTATTGAGAAACTAACTATCTCAAGATTTACCATATTTATTTTTATTAAAACTTTTTTTCCCAATTGAGTTTCTATTTTGGTTTTTGTTAATTTGAATTGATTTTTTCATTACTTTTTAGAAAATGTTGAGATATTTCATAAATTTCAAGGACAAAATTAAAATTTACATATGTTTTTTGTTATTAATCCGAATGGAGATGTTCAAAGGAAGAATTAGAGCAAAAATAAAAGATACGAGGGATGATTGGAACAATAATAAAAAAAATATAGAAACCAATTCAAACAAATAAATTTTTTTAGGTAAAATTAAAACAAGGGAAACAGAATAGGTAAAGAATGACATTTTTACAATAATAGGGCTCTCATAATACGTTAAAGGTAAATTGAAATTTACGAAAGAAAGGAACTACTAAGCCTCTCATGGTATGTTTCATAATCATAGGGCTACAGAAAAGATAACGAGGGAAAAAAAAGGGTAAAGAATGACATTTTTCACCTGGGACTAGGTCAAAAAAACCAATCATCCCTGGCTTGGCATTCCAACCAATAAAATTGTCCAAGGATCACTACTACATTAGACTCAAAAGCACACAAAAAGTCCATTCAACAAGCAACAGCCTCATTGGATGCTTTATTATTTGAGAGCCAATTATGGAGCAAGATTTTTCCCATAATTAAGCCTTGTGACAAATCCGACTCTGTTTTTTTTTTTCTTTCTTTCATATACGCACAGGAAAACTAGCGCAAATTACTTCATTTTTCTCATGCGCCACTCAAGTCGGAGAGGAGAGGTGAACTTTCTTTCAATCAGAGGGGTAATTTGGTATCCAAGACTAAGCCCAAGTATTACAAGCACATTGGCCTAGTAAGGACCATATCCGGTCAAAAAAGAATTCTAGCAAAGAAATACAAGAATGTCCAGCCCAATGCTTAAGAAAAGAAAACTAAAGGACAACATTTGGTGCTACGTCGTTCTTAACCGCATCTAGGTTGTCTTATCTGCTTTAGGCGCATTTCCAGGTTTCTGATCAAGAGGCCCCAATATCTTTCTCTCAAGGCTCTGTAACAACCAAAATGCAAAGTTGGCTGTGAGGAGTAACAATTTTAGACTAGGCTATATATATCCCCACGTACCGTCCAGCTCGATTGACTGAAAAACAATATATATCCCATAATCCGTTACCAGAGAGACAAATTTAATTAAATCAAAAGGAAACGAAGAAGAGCTCAAACCAGGTTCCATCATCTAAAAATCCATTTTTTCTTCAAACCACCAAGCGGGTTCCAATTCTATAGGACGTTTGGCATTCTCCTCCCTCTAGATCAGCCAACCATCACCAACCAGTCACCAACAAACACCAACGATTTGTTATATATGGTAGATATACCACCGTATGGTAAATTTTTTTTTTTTTGAGAGTACGGCGATTTTATTTTTGAACTCTTAGATTAAAACCATTAAAACGTTAAATTATACACACATATATTTCAGACCATGCATATACTAGCGTACATGTAATTGGATGCCTCTAGTTAATTGGCATCTTTGACAGCTGGAAATGAAAAACTTGGCAAGGGACTGGCCCTAGGTGACCTTGGCATCTGAGACTGTTGATTCCCATGACCGTCATAGAATATCACACCTGAAAATTCCGGTGGCTGACACCTCTCTCCCATCAAGATTGATTTTTGCCACAGCCCACCTTCTCCAAATCCTCCAGTTTCCACTTTAGTTCCAATTTCGGGTGCCTCAGTGTCTTGATCATCATCGCCATCTTTTTTCCGGTACATGAATGGAATTGCCTTGCTACTAATTCTTGGCCCAAATTTCTTTGGTGATGCTAATGGTGATTTATTAGGTGCTACACATTTGGAATTAGTTTGTTGCAGCACATGAGTACTCATGCTTCTGTTGCAGCACATGAGTACTCATGCTTCTGTTTGGTGCGGCCTATGTTATGTTTGGCACATAGCGCCACAAGAACAGAAACTGAGATAAACAAGCCAATTGCAAATGGGACGGACCCTTCTATGTGATGACTGACATGGGCTATGAGTAAACGAACCATATTTCATATAAATGGTGGTGGAAAAAGGAAAATACCTAGAGTTGTTGCAAGTTCTTGTTGTGATGATGACGATGACCATATATATAGAGAGAGAGGGAAAGGTGAAGTAAACGATAGTTAGCCGGTAGAAGGTGATGAGATACGACTTTTTAAAACTTCCGAGTGCCATATGAATGTCTTTAAATCTACAAAGGTTTGTTTATGTGTTTGTTGGGATAATATGTATGAAAAGTCATATATCTTGCGTTGATATTGTAGATTAATTATTCAGAATATGGTGCACATTAGCAGCTAGGTAATTTGTTAATTGCAAGTGAAGGTTCGTATCATTTTTCACTGATTGGAAATTGCATGGAAATTGCGACTCCTGTAATATTTGATCATATAAATCATCCACTATGACCTTTACTCCTTCCAATATTGCAAGGGAGTAGTTCAGTCAACGCTAATGTACGAGACCGAGTTGCTTTTTTTAAAGTTGTTACGAAGAAAACTCGAAAACACACCAATAAAAACAAAGTTGTTATGGATCATTTAATTTATTTTTACTTTTTTTATTTTAAGGAAATCAATAAAAGGAAGGGTTTCTCAAATGTCTTTACATGTATGACTAATTGTTTCATTATTGATTTTTATTTATGTCGTAGCTCGACATTCGCAGGACTCCTAAAAATTCATCATGATTTATTTTTTTGTTGAAAATTTTGTTTGGTTGAGGATATGAGTTGTTATTAATTTCAGAGTAACTATCTAGTATTAAAGATAATTAGAAATTTAAAATAGATTGGTTTAGAGATTTTAAAGTAAAATGTTGGTTATGCCTTTATGAAAATATCAATCACTTAAAAACAGAATTTTCTAGAAAAGGCACCATGTTTAATTTAGTCATAAAGTTTATCTCTTAAAAAAATTTATTTTTTCCAAATTGATTCTTAGTCAAAATTTCAAATTTTATTTCCTAAGATAAATTATTATTATTATTATTATTATTTTGTTTATGATATCATATTGAATTAATCGCTAGATCCCGTCGTCGGAAGTCTCATCAATTTAACATCAAATCCGAGTTGAAGTCTTGACATAACCGAGTATGTCGAAGAACGACCTAATTACTAAAATGTGATTGATTTGAGTTAATATCGATCCCTATTAGATAAAAGACTTTGTTAATTTTCACTTAGTGTTATATATATATATATATATATATATATATATATATATATTGTTCTTTCCTTCTTTTTTTTTAGTTTTTCTTTTCTTTTCATTTTTTTTTTTTGTATTTTTTTATTGGTGGGGAGTCATTATCGGTCCTTAAAAATTAAGAGATTCGACGACTCATCCACCTATTAATTATCTAATCTAATTATCAAAATAAAACCTAAAAACTAAACATTGACTAAGTACATAAATAAATGTAAGAAACTCCAAAATTTATAATATTAAATCTTAACTAAGCACAAAATAAAAAGCATGTATAAAAAATTTAGAGCTGATTTACCAAAGAGAATGGCTAGAATTGGAGTGATTAGGCCTAATGGGCTGGCTTGCCTTTGTTCTCACTCGAGCTTAAGCCGGGCTAAGCTCAACCCGAGCCTAATCACACACGGGCTAGGTCAAGGCTTAGTCCGTTCAGTGCTATTAGCCTAGCTCCTCTCCCATTTTGTTTCGACCGGGCTAAACCCCAAGCCTATTAACATTTTTCTATACCATTCCCAAATAACGAAGATCAAAATTTTGAATCGCTTTTCTCCCTTCTCTTCTCCTCCTTCAACCCAATTTTGTTTGCAACTTAAACTTCCTCTTCAATCTCTCCTTAAGCCATCACCCAAAAATAATGGCCCGATCTCCTCTCTTCTCTCGTTTCTCTTTTAACCCATTTTTCTGAAAACGTCATTAAGATTGAACGATCTCTTCATTCTAAGCCCATCACTTAGAAAGCCTCTTGCTTTCCTCTTCTTTGTCTCAACACGAAACCATAAGTTTTGGTTGAATCTATCCAAACACCCTAATCCTTAACCCTAAAAGTCTACAACGAATCCTCATTCCTTCTTTTAATACACCTAATTCAATCGATTTTTAACTAATTTCTCGAGTAAATTAAACACCAAGGAGATGAGTCGCATATAGGATTTCGTGATGACGGTGATTATGTCACTGTCATAGATCATTGGTGAATCAAGTTAATAAGAAGAAGCAAAATAAATAGCTTAAGAGGGAAGAAGGCTCACCTAGTTCATTCGATTGAAGAGGGAGACTAGGTTAAGGTAAGCAATTGTTAATGATGGTCACGACTTCGATCGGCAAGAAAATATCCTTGCGACAAAAACCTAGGAACAAGACTAAAATAGGTTTGCCTTTTTGTTTTTGTTTCTTTTAGTTTCACTACCTTTACTCTCTTGCTTTTTTCCCCTTCTAAAATTTTCCACAATTCCTCTCTCTCTTTCCCAAATTCCCCTCCTTTTCTCTTTCACTCTCGATCTTTTAATTGTTCTTACCTCTTTTTAAAATCCTAATTTGACCCCTATTTATATCTAAAAGTCACCCCTCATTCTTGGGATCAATTCCTTTAAATCCAAATTCCCTCACAACAAAACAAATTTTTCGACTTATCGTCCGTTTTGGCTTTATAAGAACGAGCCAAAACTTGTGCTTAATTAAAGTTTATGCATTGTGTTTTATGTGCATGTATAATGTAGCATGACAAAGAGAAGGGTACATTGCAATTCCGGATCAAGAATTGTAGCGCAAGGAGTAGCTAACCTTTGTTTGTCCCTCTAGCATATTGTCTTCATTGATAGAGATGAACATGGCTGAAGGATGGTAGAGTACAATATCTAGCTTGCTATTGTAGAATTGGAGGGATTCAAACGGCGGGTCATTTGGTTGATCTCGAATTGGTCTTGTCGTGCGTGTTTCGTGTCAATTTAGGTCCATGCGGGTTTAGTTTTGTTTCAATTGTACGATCCGAGTGTGTCATTGCGAGTCCTTGTACTTTTTATTTTTTTTCAATTGGATTCCCGTATCTTGTGATTTCGGTTCGTTTTTATTCAATCGTGCACCTAATGTAATTAATTTTATTTTTTTTGTATTATATATATATTGTATTTTTTTCCCTTTTTTTGTAATAAATACTAAAATTAAGTAAAAAATAAAATAAAGGAAAATAAAAATAAGATAAAATAAATAAAAAAAGATAAAGATAAAAAGTAAAATCTAAAAGGGATAAAATTAGAGGAAAATATATAATCCAAAATTTAGGTTATGACAACTTTTATATATGTATATATAAGAAAAACATACGTGTAAGAGGAGTTAAAAGACCCAACAAGAACCAAAAAACAACAACAAAAAAAAAAAAAAAACAGAATTTCCTAAAACAGAATAATAAAAAAACAAAACTAGAAAAGTAAAATAAGAATAAGGATAACAAGTGATTGGATTTGTTCCTTGTATAAAATTATTAATTATAGAGATATAACAATTAATATGGAAAAACAAAATTGTTTGAAGCATCTAGAAAACCTGTCAACAAAGAGGATCATATATATCCTTAAATAATCATCTCATGCATTGCTATTAAAACAAAATTAAATCATATGGTCTATTTCTGAGTCTTAATTCTTCCTCCAGTGGAATCAAGAAGTTGAAATAACTGAAATAATTCCATCATTCATCACCAATTGATCCAAGATGTGCATGTGGCGTATTTGTCATTTCAAAACGATCTATAAATCTACTAGCAATTCATTAAACACACACCACACATACCATTTCCTTGTTAATTAATAGATGGTGTTTTTTATGATTTATAATACTGATTTGCACATATAATTTCTAAAATTAATGCTCTCCTACTATATTATGTAAAGTCGTGTTCGTCATGCTATTGGCAGCTGGCTAAGTAATTAAATGAATTAATTGAAGTGAAATTAAATTTATTAACTATGATCATCGATCGCAATGGAACTTTTATATATATGGTTCAACTCATCTTGATTGACCTAAACTATGATCATTATGGCTGTCGTTATCATCCTGATTGATCGTCACCATGTTATGTAATTAATTATCAGTTCTTTTTCAAGTTCTGAACCTGTGTGGCCAACATGATGTCCCGTATAATTAGTCTTCAATTCACTTTTTATAAATGTCACGAGGCGTGGTGTTCATACATTAATTTATGCCATATAATATAACAATATAACAATATTCTCTCTCTCTATATATATACATATATACTTGGAAAATAATAAATACATAGATAATACGTGCACATAATTAAAGAAGGCATAAAATTAATATAGTATTTGTATCTCAAAAAAATCTTTGATGTTTTAAGTTTCTAGACGAATATTATGTAGTGGACAGCTGATTTCTATCTACTGAATTGTGCTATCGGGTTAGTGCACCATCAACTTCATGATTAACAAACAAAACCTGTGGGTTAACTATCTGCTGTATGAAGCGATATCATTGTCAATTTGTACTTCCACTTAATTTATGCTAATTCTAATTAACACAATGTTTTAATCTTTTTTTTTAATTTGCCTCTAGCTAGCTAGCGTGGCGTCTAATTCATGCACAATTAATTAAAGATATTCATCTAAAAAGAAAAAAGAAATCATATATCACAACTCAATTTTCCTTATACTATCAATTCTTTGATCGATGGTTGGTTTCTTATAAATCCACCAGCTATTTGATCGAAGTTATCCATAATCCATATTAATTTTCAGAATTGATATTTTAGGATGAATAGAAGAATTATTTCCTACTAGTTATTTATGTTCAATTAAGGGTTTTATAATTTGATTTATATAGTTTCAGTCATCTTTTCATTAATTAATTAATTAGGTAACCCATCATTCCATTAATGCTATCATTAGGTAATTGACAATCGTAAATTTTGTCCCTCAACTTTTCAAGACACTAGCTAGATCAGTTCAGCATTAATTATTAAGTAATGAGGCATTACCTGTTTATTAATAGAGACGACAACTTGGATGACAGTGACCCTGGATTCTGTACCGTAACAGTTCTTGTCCTGTCGACATGTATGAATGCATTGTGTTGTCAGAGTGAAGATATATAGTGCTATAATTAAATGTGTAACCAAATTGATTAAGATTTTCGTCGGCCAATCCTTTATCCGTATCGGCTGTAAAATGACGTCCCCTCTCTTGTAGCCTTCGAGGGGAGTGTGGAGTTGGGTGAGAGGTCGAGAATCAAGGAAAGCAGGGTAAATATTTTTATAATTGAGTGTTCCAAATCTGGAAGCCAGAATCCTAACAATAATTTTGTCTATCTTACTTGCAAAGAAACCGCAATTTTGCATGTATTGGAATGAATGAGCATAGGTATGAAACTGATAAGAGATTGATTGCTTAGATTCTGCAAATGAGCTGGTAGTGGATTTTGGTAAGGAGTCAATCAGATTTCATAGTTAAGTGATGATGTTATACATCCTCATAATTTAGTTGGAGTTGTCAAGATAACAAATGGTTAAGTTCAATGTCTATATGATCCGCAAAAGATTTGGTTTTTTGGGTATCGATCAATATCCACACATGGCCGTTGATTGATGGTACAGAGTTCCCACTTGGTTTTGGTTCTTTGTTAAAGAGACCAACGGTACAAATTGAAAGCAGGTTGTATTCCTCGCATGCTCTAAGTATTGGTTAAGTTTCCAGTGTTTTGAGTTCGTTAAAATCTTCTTTTGCTCAACATAGTTTTTTCCTTATTTTTTTCACCAGTATTTTTTAACAACCTTTCGTGCATTAATACTAAATAATCCATCTTTCTTATTAATCTAGTAAAAGAGTAAGATATTTATATTGATACGAAAAGATTTATGAGCATTTTACTTCTCACGGACTGATTTAAAATAATTTTCTAAAATAATAGATATAAGGAGAAAATCAATGTTTAATGGATTATAACTGCTGCGGATCTTAACCATTAACGCACCTTAAAGTTTAGTATAATGAACTGCACCGACCTCACTTTATAAAATAAGAACATTGAAAGTAAATTTCAGAATAATATTGCATCTAATGGAAAATTGTAATTTTCTATAATCGACCACTCTAAAAAATTACTTTTTTTTTTTTTTGAAAGAAAAAGCAAAAGTTGAAGCCTTGAAACCTTGTGGGGGAATCTGAACATTTGATTCATTACATTTAATGAGAGGCCACTACCAATCCCATGTGACCATGAATCAAATAACTGTGTATATGGCTACGTGAAAGTCCACAGAGTAAATTCTTCCCTTTTTGTTTGGTTTTCGAGTATTATGCCTCCAAGCATAGCCGATGGACAAAAACCTCTCTTCCGTTCCCTCTGATCACACACGCATTTTTAGAAAACACTATGAACACTCATCAAGCAACTTTCGAGGGTTGATTCAGGAGTGAGATTAAGAAGACTCATTTATGGTGATGTTGTTGCTAAATTCTTCATGAGTTGATATATCTATATTTGATAATTAATACTATTCATAGTGGTATCTTATATAAATTTCGATCTGAACATAGGTAATGGTAATTTTTTAAAAAAAATGTGTGAGTGTGCGGAATATATAATATGTTTCAACTTGAACATATAATCAAACTATTTGTATACTTATGTTTTAACCATGCATCAAAAAGAAAACAGACAAAGAAGAATTAATTGCATGCCTTGTGGCAACTTATAGATTTTGATTTTTAATATTTCGATTCCATTTTCGATTAATTAACCGAACTCGTAAAAAAAAAATTAATCAAAAAAATATCCTGTAAAGTCATTAATTAGTAAAGGTATTTTCATGCGGTTTTTATAAATTTTAGCATTTGTGAATTTACCATGAAGTGTTTTTTTTTTGAATAATGATGGTGTGCATTTGGTAACAACACTTCCATGCATCGATATGGAAAATCCAAATTGTTTGCAGAAAATCTAGCACATAATTAGCCACAGAATTGTGGATGCAATACGTACCATGGATTTGGAAAATTAAGTTTTAAATGGGTACAACTGGATCCAACTAATTAGATAATATATATTAAGGAATAAAGTAGAATTTAATACCACATATATATACAAAATAAAAAAAATTACTCATTTTGTATTATAAAATTTCTCAACAAAGTAATAAAGAAACACAGCCAAGACGCCTATAGCTATAAAACCCAAAAAGAAATTAAAGCTCACAATAAGGGATGCTTGGTGATGATTGCTACTCATACAGATGTCTACACAAGTTTATCAAGCATCAGTATGCAGATGATTGCTACTTCGAAATGTTTTTTTTTTTTATTATAACTTTACTTATTTATACTATAAATAAAAATAACATTATTTATAGTCGTTAGTTAGTTGCCATGCACATTTGATAAAACTTTAATAAAAAATTTTAATGCAGTTGTAAAGTAAACATAATTGTCAAAATATACAAATCTCTATATTATGATTATTCTTTATCTTTTTATTCTATTTTTTTTATTTGATTTGTGTTTTAACTATAATGACTTGGGAGCCAGGCCGGTGCATTCTAGTACTCATGCTTCCCAACTAGTTTAGGTTTATAATCAAAAGGAAAAAGGAAAATTAAGAAAAATAAAGGCTTTCAAAAAGAATTCTTTTAGTTATTATCTGCATGTCCTTTTCAATTATCAAATCATCTAAGAAATACAATTCGTTTCTCAATTTTGGAATTATCTATATCTATATAATAATCTTTGTGATTTCCAATTATATCCTTATAATTGCCAAGGCCAAGAGGAATGCTTTCCATTGACAAGTTGCAGTAGTCCAGGACTCCAAAGCTAGAAAGCAGACAAGTTGGCTCCTCCTCCTCCATTCATATTCACAGGCCTCGGGAACATAAAGCACTTGCATTCAGGAGGGGGATCTTTGGATCTTTTACTCTAATTTTTGACGTTGGTGTGATTAACTTCCACCAAATGTATTAATTGTATTTTTTTTTATTTGGGCTCCGGATCCTAAATTAAGTACAAGTAATAAAATAAAATTGGATATATATATTTGGAGATACCTAATAGTTGAAGTAGAATAATTCAAGGGGAAAATAGAAAATAAAATGTAATAATTAGTAAGCCTATGATTTATGAGTTTCCGGACTTGCCTAAGGTTTTTAATGTTAATGTTTTCCTTTTTTTAAAAAAAAATGTTACTGTGTGCTTTCATGATAACATCTTTGCTTTCATCATTCATTTTAACAAATAAATAAACAAACAAACAAAAATTATAAACGAGTGCCACAAATATGTGAAAGAGAAGAGGACTGGAGAATTGAGATGTAGTGCACACGTACGGCTTTTCTTAATCTTCAGAGAAAGGAAAGCTTCTAAGCAAATTACCAACCCCATTAATAAAACAGTATCATTATTATTATTATGGTGTCTGACTTTAGGTTAATATCATCTCCTCCCATGCCGTGTCGTGCCGTCACAGCTACCCATGTTCACTTGATATCTCATAAAATAAACTATTAGAAATAATAATTAGCTGTCACTTTTCTCAAATTAAGCATCATCATGGTAATCATGAACATAAACCTACAAAATCTCTGTATTATCCCTTTCTGGTAATATAATCATAATGTCCTTAACACATGTACAAGCTCAAACTCAAAGTATCATACACCATGATCCATAAAATCTGAAATTTTATGGCTTCTTGAGTGAAGAGAAAATTAGGTGAAGAAGCAAAAAAATTAATATACAAAGTAATTACATCATACAAGCAATTATGAAAGCTCTCAGTACTAACCATCACTTCCTTTTCTCGTCATTCACCTCAGTAATCATCAAGACTAGTAGTGATCGGAGCAAGAAAAGAAATCATCAATGGTGCAATGGGTTGGGACCCGTAGGGACCAGGCGCTTTTCAACACCATAACGTGGATCAATCTCACTTTGAGCTGGTTTCTTATGCTCCTCTTCATCAGGCAAAGGTTTTTCATGGTGTTTCTGAAATGGGGTGAAGTCGAATTTGCTAGCAAGAACTTTTCTATTGAGGAAAGGGCGATGAAAGACTATTGATGAGTTGCTTATGTTGTTGATTTGATCTTTGGTAATGTTGTTGATCTTGGACTTGCAATTACGCAATTCATGAAATACTAACAAGAGAAGGGAGAGCCAAAGAACGACACAGAGAGTGTGAGAAATTTTCAAGGCCATGGAGGAAGAGTAGTAGAAGAGGGTTTGAAGAGGAAGCATGGAGCAAGAAAATGAGGAGCTGAAGGGAGGAAAATTTTAGTAACTAGCTAGATGAGGATTCTTGAAGTTTTACAGCTTGGAAATGTGGAAGAGGATTGAAATGTTTGCGTGTGCTCCTTTTTTCACCTTTCATGTGAGATTTGCTAGCACCTTTTTATGCTAATTTATTGCAGAAAGAGGAAGGAGAGCAGGGGTAGACCCTTTCCCAATGAGAGTTCCTTAGAAATCAAGCAACAAAAAGGGGTCATTATAAGTACAATTGTCAAACTTCGAATTATACTACGTTTGATTATGTTTGTCTTTTAATCCCTTGAAAATAAATATTAAGCTAGCATATATAAATATATGGTTATTTATAAATGACCTATATCTCTAGCTAGTCTTTACCTCTCTCTCTCTCTCTCTCTAGAAGCATGATTGTGTGGAAGCGAAGATCCATATGGGCTTTGAGTGAATTGCAACTAAATAAAAAGGTGGAGAATGTGCAATCCACATTTTCCATGACCAAAGCAATGTGGGAACTGCTTGCAAAAAGTAAGGGACAAAGCAACAGATATGGAACTGTATACAATAATGTTTTGTTCAAAGTCCATATGCGTATACAGGTTCTCCAAAAAAAAAAAAAAATAGCCCATGTATAAATACGTACGAGCCTAGATTAATATATACACTCTTGTAGTATAGAAGTTTGGAAATCAACTCTACACTCCACAAACAAAAATAGGGTTAATGTCTCAAAATCTATTTTTATATATATTTTTTGAGTCAATTTTATTTTTAAATATATGCTAAGTTTTTAATACATCTTTATAATAAGATTTTGTAGATTAAATTACTAAAATTATCAACATGTTTTTTGTATAATTTTTTTAATTGTCTGACTTGTAAATGTCTTATGAGAATAAAAAATAATTATATATAAATCATGTAACTAATTTGAATTATTTATTCTAAAAATCTTGTTAAAATAATAGATTAAAAATTTTAAAAAGTTATAAAAATAAAATTAGCTCAATTAAAGATATATAAATATTTTAAAAAATTATCTTATTATATAAAAATAAACTCAGCGGTATCCGAAAATAATATGCTTAGTAAGGTTTGTTTTCTAACTGATGTTGCATGAGTCATGTGGCTGGAAAAATATCAAGATAGCTAGTGATGTGTTTTTTTATTAACAAGTGGAAGTTCCAAACAATTAATATTTTCGTTTTTGCAAATCAAAATTTTCACAGTACATGTGGGGTACTTTCCAATTGCTACATGGCACCTGCATCTGCTGCCTCCTAATGGATTAGAGGAACATATCCTTAATTTATTGAATTAATTAATAATAGTACAGGCAAGTTAATTTTTAAATAGGGGAGCCAAATCTGTTTATAAAATTATTGACATGATCTTAACACATTGATTGTGCACTTACGACAATTGAAATTAAGTCATTAATTAATACACTATCTTTTATCATATTATGAGTTAGTAATATGATTTCGGTAAGCTTATTCTAGCACTATTTTTGAAAACTTTATAAGGGTGATTTAAGAGAGAAATTATTTTATAAATCTGATCCATGACGTAAAACTGTAAACCAAACTAATAATTTTTTTACATATCATTAAATTTATCCGTATCATATTGTGATATACGCATTATTAATTATTTTATTTTACAATTATGAATGTGTATTATTAATTATACATCATTATCTTGCATAATTCATTTATTGAAAATATCAACCATTGATTTATGAGAATTACTTACAAAACTTTACTTATTTAATGCATGAGATGCTCATTCAATGATTGATTAATTGTTTCTATTGTTATTAGTAGTTCCGAACAAAACTTCTAAAAATATATAGTAATTTTAAGGTAGTCTATGGAATCTAGCTTCAAATTATTATTATATATATATAATTTGTTGGATGTAAAATGTTCTGGGTTTGTATAGGTATTTTTTTAAGATTGTAATTGCTTCATCACCCATGGTGGATCGGCCTTTGCGGGTGGGTGATTCTTCTATTTCTAATATGTTTTTAGAAATTTGAGAATTAGTCATGTCGATTGTAGTTATTTTAAGTTAGTTTTGTCCATAGCAGCTTTTATTGTTCATTTTAGAACCAATTCGGTGTTGCTGGTTAGCCAAAGTTTGAGTCGATCTTTATTGGTTGCTGTGATTTTAGCATGGCCAGTTGTCTTCTATCTTCGCATTCTTTCAATTTGCTTCCGGGTACATTCTTTTCGGTTGTTTACAATGCTCAGACAACGAGGACGACGAGGCAGAGAGTATTCTGCAATTTAAGAATTCTTGGGGATTACAGATATAGTCTCTTGTTCAAACGGCTAGACTTTTTTTTCTTTTTCTCTCAATGTTTAAGGTTTTTCAAAAAGCATTATCCGAAATCGTTATAAAAGTTTAATGACAAATTTATAATAATTTGAAAGTATTTTTTTTTTACCCGAAACTTGCTCTTACAAGATTTGAAGTTCAAAATTTGTTATTATTATTATTTTTTTACTAAGGTGCCATTTATTTTCAATCAATCTTATTCACGAAAATATTTTAATTTTTGACTCCAATAGAAATAAGTAGGTTAAAAAAACACAATCCTGCCATAGGTGTGATCACCTTTTAAAGTCGATGAATCAATAATGTATACCAATTTATGTAAAGAGGAGAAAACATTGTTCTTAAAACATTGATGTTATGCACAACCAAATAATGAACTAATTAATTATATATATATATATATAAAAGAACTGATTTGATAAAAAAAATGTAATTATGAGATAATAAGGTGATTTTTCAATTTTTCTTTTCTTTTTTATGCATAGACATATTAGGCGAAATTGGAAAACTGCTACTTTGATCGATTTTACGTTGTTGGTAATCTATAATAAAAATTCATTAACACAGAAAAAATGATATTTTATATTAATTTAAAAACAAAGAATTGTTAATTAGATACTGATTTTCTATTTACATAAAAATAAAACTTTTTATAATAACTATCAATAATAAAATTCATTTTTTTTAATGAACAGATCAGGAGCAATATACCGAAAATGCCTAATGATAATTTATTAAAAACTCTAAAATTTGTCAACATAATTGTATTTGCCTAGCTACCCATGCATGCCATAGATAACCATATTATTCCAGTGAGATCCAATATTAGGTGGGTTGACCTAATAAATGGAAGGTCTTCCATCAATTTGTCAACTCAATTAAATTTTCTTTTCTAAGTTTTCACCACATAAAATTTATAGAGGAGCTATCTAATCTAAATTGAATATCACCTAATTACCTCACCACAAAAATAACACTAGCAATTCAAAAATAAAAAAGAACAAAAAAAAAAAAAATTTGAAAACAGAGCTAGACTATGGCCCAGCCCGTGTTCCATAGTTAATGGGCCGAAGGTGTTGACCCAATCCAAAAACCGACCCGAAATTGGATTAGTCACTGCGTACGGACGCAACGGAAGGTAATATAAATAAGAAATACCCGACCGCGTTTTCTCATGAATGATCTGGTCTTTTTCCAAAATCATATTCCAGATAAAAAACCTAGACAAATCGATCTTGATTTCCATAGCGAGAATCGAAAATGGTAAGCTAATATCTCTCTAAAATCGTAGAAATTATGGTTTTGTTTTTAAGATTTTTTGTTAATGATTTGAAATTAGGGTTTCGATTTCTATTCAATTGTTGTAAACTCATTCCTTAATGAAGATTTTTTCATGATTTTAGTTGATTTTATTTAAGAGCTTGATTTTTTTTATACGACTCTCACCTGTTTTGTGTTGATTTATTGCAGTCTTCGCTTGCAGCAGCTAGAGCCGATAATTTTTACTACCCGCCGGAATGGTCCCCGAAAAAGGTACCGCAATCGGGAACTATGTATTGTGAATTAGTTAATTTCTGAGAAAAGAGGGATTCTGACTTTTATTTTCTTACTTTCAGGGTGGTTTGAACAAATTTCATGGGCAACATGCTTTGAGGGAGAGAGCACGAAAATTAGACCAGGGTATTTTGATAATAAGGTATGTATTTTGGTTGTGGCACGAATTTTCATATTTACAAATAACTTTCGAATAGAGGGAAGTTGTTTATTCTGGTATGGGTTACGATTGGAATGTGCCACTTTGGTGTTATATCGTAGAATTGAGCTCTTTAGATCAAAGAATAATGAGAGTTGTCTTGAACAGCTACCTTCTAAAGTGCTTATGCATTATGTGTAAAAATTCCGTCAGTAAAAGATGTAATTTGATTGGAAAATGGAAAATATGTATGCTAAATCAAAGAGTAGTTGTTTCTCTGCCCTAGTGACAAATCATGGGGTTAACTGAATAGTCGAGGAAAGCATGGATATATAGCATTTCAGGTTAATGGATAATCTTAATTGGAAATTCAGCCCGCACCTCCCTCCCTCCCTCCCTCCCCCTGCCGTGATGTTTACACAAGAAAACTTTTTAGTATAGATTCTTTTAACTTGATGAAAGTTTGACAATGTTTCATATGAAATACTTATTTTTGGTAACCGTGAAATTTAATTATTATATGGTAGTGTTTGATTTTGGGTTTATGATAATGACTGGAGAGAATGAAAATGAGAGCGAAACAGTAAAAAAAAAAAAAGATACTATCGTTCTTTTTCAACAGTTTTTAACTGTTAATCATCAATTGATCATTATGTAAATGAAAAGCCTATATAATAGGTATTTCAAATGTTTCTTAACAAACTGTGCAATTTCCATTTCCTGTAATTGTATGACATGATTTTCTTGCTTTTCAGGTTCGAAATGCCCTTCAATATATGGTGTGGCGGTTGCAATTCTATGATTGCAAAGGGTGTTCGGTTCAATGCAGAGAAAAAGCAAGTGGGAAATTATTATTCTACAAAGGTAACTCTGACAACTGATTCCAAATGCTTCTGATAATTTGTATAGAAAACTAGAAGTGGAACAAAGGAGTACATTCTATATCTGCACATGGGCAACAAGACACACTTGCAATCATAAGCATACGTATGTTTTTACATCTGTGTGCACACACACACACACACAAAAACAGTGCCTGCTTATGTGTTATTCTTGCCTATACTTGATTTTAGTCCATGAAAGACATGCCATCTTCTAGCATCAATTAAGTGTATTCCATGGTGGTGTTGTGTATGTGTGAAAAAGGTTCGTGCACTTGCTTGTTGCACCCATGCATGTGTGCTTGTACACATAGCATACAGAGTCTGCTGCATGTTGTCCTGTTTATTGTTGTTTTTAGTCCACATAAAAGTTCATCTACCAATTAATTCTGAAAGCTGCTAGTTGACTGGCAAGTTTGTGTGCAATTAAGCTTAGCGTTTCAGTGTATTATTATCGTATTTTGATTTATACAAATTTCTTTTGTTAACGGCTTGTTCTTGCGTTCTTCAGATATGGAGCTTTACCATGAAATCTGCATGCTGCAAACATGAAATTGTTATTCAGACAGATCCAAAAAATTGCGAGTATGTGATTATTAGTGGGGCTCAACGAAAAAATGAGGAGTTTGATATTGAGGATGCAGAAACATTTGCTCTCCCTGCTGATGAAGGTTGGTATAGTCTGATGCACTTACAATGCTGCTTTGTAAGTCTGCTTGGAATACCAGTTTGTCATTTCTTATTGGTCATGGAAACATAAACATTTTGTATTTTCTTGACCCCAAATTCTGACTTGATTCTTTGTTTTTCAGAGAGAGGCAAGCTTTCAGATCCATTTTACCGTCTTGAACATCAGGAAGAGGATTTGCAAAAGAAAAAAGAAGCTGAGCCCATTCTAGTCCGCCTTCAGCGAGTATCGGATGCCAGGCATTCAGATGACTATGCCCTCAACAAGGCTCTTCGTTCCCGAATGAGGAGTCAAAAGAAGAGAGTTGCTGAAGAAGAGGCCACTTCCAAGAAAATAGGTCTTGGCATACGCTTGCTTCCAACAAACGAAGAAGATGCTGCCTCTGCAGCTCATGTGAAGTTCTCTTCCAAGTTTGATAAAAATAGAAAGGATAAGCGAGCTTTAATCAGTGCTGCTTCAATATTTCCTGGGTCATCTGGTTCTTCCATCTCCAATAAGAAACGTTTGGAGCTAGATTCCAAAAGAAGGAAAATCAGTGCTGCTGCAGCCTCTAATTTGCTGACTGGGGGATTCAAGCCATCATCATGGTCACAGGGTACCGTTTCTTGCAGCAGGCATAAGCAAAATTCCATGAATGCCAGACGTTATTAGCTATGGTTCCACGATGCTATGAAAGAGCTGATTTTCTTCATCGTAAGACGTTAGATCATCTTGTTTGGAAAAATATATATATGTATTTGTTGCCACCCTTTGCCTAGTGTAAATGGCTCAGGATCTTTGTACATACAAGCTTACTGCTTGGTTTGTTTTTGTCGCCTGACCTGGCCCTCGTGTCTAAGGTCCCACACGAGGTTATTATATTGGATGTGTAACAAGTGATGCGTGCAATAGTTTCAATAGTGAAATGAAATTAAATGACAATTATCAAAGGTTTCTGGTTGTATTCCCTCTCCCTGCAGATTTGTTTTTCGATCAATTGTAGCGTATGTTTCACTCGCTTTTGTTGCATTTCTAATGGTTGTTAAATCTTGTTTTCCTTCCCCAAATTACTCGTTTGGAAAGGGTAGGGTAGCAAATGTAGTAAAAGACTCTGAAACTGTTGCTTGCAGCTTCGGTTCTTCTATTGGGCCAGCTCTTTCCCTCAAAATGTTTAAAAGCCTTCGTTCTCCCTGTCCTGTTTTAGCTTTGTGGGCATTCCTGGCCATGTTTTAAACAAATAGCTGCTCTAGAGAAGTAAAGTAGATCTCGTCAAAAAAGAGTAATCACACCAGTTAAAAAATACGGAGTCACGATATGGATTCATTCCCCTGATTCGAGGGGAAAGTTTAAATCTATATGAATCTAGGAAACCACAAAACAGGAGATCATGCACAGAGCGATTTTATACCTTTTTTCTTTCCCTACATGCCAGGCCCAATTGCCCATATTTCAGTAAAATTTCTTCCATTTTCTCTCTAATGAAAGAAGTTAGCAAAGAATACTAGGAATGATGATTCCTCCTGTAATCCAGTACATGCTAACTCTCCCTGCAGAGCACTACCGCCTATATATATATATATATATATATATATATTGACTAATGAAGATTTTGGGTCAGGCGGCAGTACCCGTTCTGTTTACTCTCAAACAATAGTATCTGCACAGCAATTATTTGCTCTGTGTTCTTATCCCCCCCAAGATCTGGTAACTGTGTACAGCTTACCAAATCCCCTAAAGATTGATATGCATAGACAACAGATCAGAGTACAGCAGACACTGATCCCGGCTTATCAGCTTTACAAAGCACTGCTGCAAATTAGTGTATATATATATATATAGCAAAGCAAACGAAGCAGACGGAGATCATCATTTTAAATCTCTCAATCCATAATTGGTTTACTTAACTCCCTTACCCCGAACCCAACAACCAACCACCCATCCACACCCCCAAAAAGAAAAAGAAAAGAAAAGAAAAGAACCTGCACATTCGCAATTCTGTCACCGAAAAGCAATACAGGTGTAGCACCTTACTGGTATTAAAGCTACGTTACATAGACTGTAACCCATGTACCTAATACTGCCATAAGATCACGCAACTGAGCCCAAAGAATCAGATACGAACAAGCAACCCATATATATATATATATATATATATATATATATAATACTTCATATATACAGTGATATGTCAAGTACTGTCAGTGTTTGTTGTTGACTTTCTCAGCGTATCATTCATATCCAAGTTAATATAACAGTATCATTAGGTTTGTTTATTTTTGGATTTTTTATCAGAAACAACACACGCTCTCTCTTCTCTCAGTTCTCTCCAAGAACGGATGCTTATAGTCAATTCTTTGCAGAGGGCAGAGGGCTTCTCTTTTCCAGGTTTTTTGGCTTCACCAGTATCGCCTGATGAACAATATCTTTCCTTGGCGTGATTATTCCACATATTATGGTACCCCACTTTTAATTGTCATTATTTTTTCACGTTTGATTTATACATGCATTTAATTATATTCCGTCAGTCTAATTATATGAACATGCTTGTTTTTGTAGGGTTTTGGCAGATACTGCTATGATTTTGTGACTATATATGTTAAACTCGCACAAGAATATTGTCAGGAGATCAACCAGTTACTAAAAGCATGCAGTATTTCAGGTTTGTTCGATCTCCAATATTACTGTTTGTAGTTTGTCTAGCTCTCCCTTCTCTCATGTTTCATGCTTGGCTTTACATGCAAGATAATTTAGATTTTGAAAGTGCGGGGATTAATTACAGAGACGATAGCATGACTAAGTATTATGTTAATTGATTCTTTTGAAAAAAGAATTATGTCAATTAATTTAATGCCATGAATTTATTGCATTTTATAGAAATCAAATTTATTATTCTCATCATATTTATCATATCTTGAATTTGAAAATAGACATATGAAATCATGTTGGCATCACGTAATTGCTTCTTAATTACTCAAGGTTCCTTGCAATTTCTATGCTAACTTTAATTTAGGATTAAACTTAGACCATAATTACTTTAATTTAGGATTAAACTTAGACCATAATTACTCCTCACATGAGTATGCACTTGGAAAACTGTCTAGCCTTTTCTTTGTAGAAGAGAGTGTTTGCACTCTCCAAATAGCCCTGTAATAGGGTATTGCTTATTGTTCAACACTTGCATCTTAAAATATGGTATCTGGAATTAATTAATACTAATTTATCATAAAATGTGAGAAATTTCAAAGACTATTTGCACTCCCAAATGGCCTTGTTTCTTTTTGATTCACAGATCGAGACACTTTCTTTCTTTCTTTCTTTTTATTTTATTTTATTTGATAAGTTAATCCATGTAGTTTTCAAAGGCATAAATTAGCTCTCCTGCTTTTTTTGAGAGTTCGCACTGTCTTTTTAAATGCATTTTTAGTTTAACCTTGTAGTCGTGGAATTTTTTTTAGGAGAAGTAAAAATAGCAATTTTATTCATTATTACAAAATAAATTATAAGATCTAAATCTCTAAATAAATAAATAAAAAAGAAGATAGATAATCTAAAACTATAAAGATGAAGATGGATCGAGGTTGTCGGTTGTGAGAACCTCAAGGAATAGGTGCTTGGCTTCTTTAGGAGATTAGGTTTTAGGTTTTGATGGAAAGGATGAGAGAATATTGTCATAATCTGTCATGTTAAAACAAATAGAAGAAGAATATTTTAGAGAAAAAAAACTATATTGAAATGAAAACCTAACGCAATGACAAAATTATAGATAATCACAAACGTTAAAAAGATTTAATATTGAATTCCTTAAAGTAATTAGGAGTTTAATTAATTTATTTCCTAAAAATATAGGGATGAAATAACGGGGCACTCGATCATTCACAAAAGTTGGTTGTAGCCATTTATACGAGCAGATAAGACCGTACGTAGCTTCTTTTTAACGTATTGATCAGTCGTTATTTCATAACTAGCTAGCTAGCAACTAACGAACAGACAACTAAATCCATCAAGTTATTGCCTCGTGATATTTAGCAGCAGGCTTTAATTAATGAGTGGTGGTAACTAGTACGGTAGCCGCCCGCTGCTATTACTGCTTTCACAACACTAAAGCGGTTCTCATCAACCGACTAAGGCATGAATTTTTAAATTGGACAAATAAGTAAATTTATTTTTATATTATAGTATGAATTTTCAAGATATTTTTATCTTTTTTAATTATATTTATTATATCTCTAAATATTATTTTAGTTTTTAATATATTTTTTATTAATTTTTTTGACAATAAATAAATTTTTATATTGAAATACTCATGATTAAAATATTAAAAAAATTATTTCAAATCACATAACTTATATTTTAAATTTTTATACTTTTATTATTTTTACATTTTAATCAGAAGTATTTTGATAAAAAAAATTATTTATGATCAGAAAAATGGATTGAAAGAACATATCAAAACTTAAATATTATTAAAAGATATAATAAATACAACTAAAAACATAAAAATAAATTAAAATCTCATGTTAGTGTATGAAAATGTATTGAATTATTTACTTTTTTTTAATTTCGATTTGAAACAGGATATTGTTAAATATTTGAATAATTAGGTCATTGGATTAACCATTAGATCGACAGATTGACCTATATATCTTAATTTTTTTGTTCTTAAATAAAAATTAAAAAAGAAAGTCAATTTTTTCCTCTCTATTTATATGGGTTTTGATTAGATGAATCGCATCAATAACTTATTTAGATCACATATAAATTTAATCCAGTCTAGATTAACAAAGTTTTTGGATCAAGCCAGATAGTATTTGACAATTATGGATCTCCTGATTGGTCAGTAGAAAAACAATCCAAGAGCATGAATTGAAAAATTAATATAGTTTAATCGGGAAGGTGAAAATGAAATAAAGCATGATTGACAGTTTTTTTTTTTCCATAACCAAGATCTATTATTATTGTTCACCGTATCACTAGTACTGTCGCCGTCGCATCATTGGCGGTCCTGATTGTGGCAGTAGCAATGACAATTTTTTTTCTTTTTTCGAAAAAAAATGATACATTATTGAAAATGGTAAAATTATCACTCCCATCTAGATCCATATATAGTACCGTCGTCAGTGGTCACTGTAAATGATGGTGGTGGTACTCGGTGGCGGATCAACCTTTGACTTCAATGAAAAACAATAATTGACTTTAATTAGGGATGACAATGGGGGCTGGGCAGGGACGCTATTGAAAAATTTTCTCCGTCCTCGCCTCGTATTTTTAATGAAATAAAATTTTTCATATCATGCTCGCAACAAATGGGGATAGGAATCCCCGAGGGGGCAAACAGAACGCAAACAGGATAAATTTTTTTTCATCTCATTTTATCTAATTCTGTTATCAAATTTTAAATTATAGCAAAAAAATGATAATCTATATAAAAAATAAACTCTAAAAATCACTAATTATAAATTTTTATCTAATTCTACTATCAAATTTTAAATAATAGCAAAAAAAAGATAATTTATATAGAAAATAAACTCTAAAAATTATTAATTATAAATTTTATACGAGGTATAATTTTAATTTTAATAAATAAAAAAATGAGACAAACGGGACAGGATAGGCAAATCCCATCTCCGCTAACGGAGCGCCCCACCCCGTTCCTCGATCGACGTGAGGTCCCG